ACACACATGCCCATCCCATCGTGAAAGTGTCCAGTCGTAGTGGTAACCTACTGATACCAATGTTGGTCGCTTGGGAGGATGAGAGAGAGATAGACAGAGAAGGGGTTAGAGGGAAGAGAGGTAAACGCGAATCCTTTCTCTCACTTTTTGACTCATCCTCTTTTTCTCTCTATCTTCCGTCTCTTTCCCTGACCAGAATACACCTTGCGTCCGGCAGATGATCCCTGGTCCATGGGCTGGTCTTGCTTTGTATTTTTTTTTAACTTTCTTGGAAAACTGGTCGACTGGAACCCGACTCCACGAACCTCGCTACAGTCGAAGTCCACGTGTGCCTGGTTGAATTTTTATGGGATGCTGTGCCACGGTACCATGGACCATACGTGAAATCATTTACGTTCTTAGTATACGGCACTTTCTACGTTTGGTAATTATTACGGGACGTAAGATCCGTTTTTGGGCTGTATCATCGTTTTACGGTGATATCGTATCGCCAAGGTGACGGCTAGTCAAATGATTCTAAGTCTAACCAGTTTCGGTCGCTGTGGTCGTTCGTATCTGCTCATTGCCAGACATCCGACAGTACTCGTACATCTGTTTATTCAATTCGATTAGAATCCTAAGAGATTCGTATCTTTGACAATAGTGTACTATATAGATGATGTTCTTTTATGAGATACTAAAAAAAAAATGTTTCACTATCGCTCGCGTAGGCGTGCACGTTCGTCTTTTCTATCAGGCTGTCCTGCCGGGAAAGTAAAAGTATAGTCGACGAGGCTGGTGTGCCGCGTGCCAGGAACGTCTACGTGGCTACTCGTGGCCCAGGCGACAGTCAGGTCCGCGGGAGCACGCTGTACAGCGTGGTAAGGCAGATGAGACCAACGCCGAGGTACGAAGCGGTACAGTCGCCTGTGGCCTAGGTGGTCGAGGAGATGAAGAAAGGTGGCGGACGAGACGAACGACGATGAGGAAGAGAGAGAGAGAGAGAGAGAGAGAGAGAGAGAGAGAGAGAGAGAGAGTGACGTAGGAGGTACGAGGAGGAGGGAGAAGGCGAGTCGCGTTGGCTACGGCGATGCCGTGAGGCGCGCGCGCATGTCCGCGTTGCCGCGTCGCGATCGCCCTGGCCCACTGACCCATATTACACGTGGGTACTGGTCCCATATAGGAGCGTCGGTTCCAATAGCAATAGTCCTTTTCGGCTCTGGAGACGTCATCCTCGGCGGTATCGTCCACCTCGGGAATACGAGTACACTGCAACGATCCATGTTATCTTGCGCACGTGCGCAAGAGAGAGAGACGTTGCTGCTTTTGTCGCTGACTGTACCCCCCTCCCTCGCCGTTCGTTTCTACATATCGGTTGTCGAAGGTACTCTTATCGCTACACCTCATATGGGGAATACGCGCTCGTACGATCGGGACTCTTTCGTTGCTCAGACTGTACCCCGTTGCTGCCGTTGATACAAGTGCTGCGATTTTTCAGCAACGAAGTGAATACCCGCACGTGTCTCCCGGGGGCTTTGAATCTCTTTTCGTTGTCCATCCACCTTACTACGATTCGTTCTCGATCTATCACGGCTACAAGTACTTCGGAGCCGAACGGCCAGCCCTCGCTACGGCACTTCCTTCTGCCACCTCATGCTGCGCGTCACTCACGGCTAAGTACCCACCTTCCTCGCCTCCTGATACAGGTACCCACCAATCCGGCGACCTCGGGGATACGCTCGCTGGTTATCGACGTCACTGTACGCGACACCCTCTGGCTTCTACGCGTCACTGTACCTTGGGCACGTGCCATTATTATTTTCACCTCCCTGTTCGTTCTTGAGACTATCATTTTATTCGACGCCTCACGTTGGGTCTCCGTGCCGATAAATATTTGAAATTTTGTCGAATGGGTTTTATTGCCTTTTTTTTCGAATTCTTTCCCACGTGCCCCTGGCGTCCACTCGCGACGAGTGGTCTCGCTTTTGAGCTCTGTGGTGGTATGCATATATGTTTTTCACGTGTACCTGAAATTACATGCAATTCCGAGGCGAGCAATCGCACGATCACGTGACGTGACGTAAAAGGGGCTAGATACGGAGAAGGTGGGTACGATATGATCTTGTCGAGATTTTCTGTGGTGCGGTAAAGGGACAGGCGGGGGAGAGCACGTGCGAGTTCCACGTGCGGGGTTACAGCTACGGACGTCACGACAGCCTAGCTAGTACATTACATACTGGCTTCACGGTACTTTCATTCTTTCTCCTCACATTTTTATTCCCTTTTGCAACCACTCCTTTCTTCTATCTGATTTTACGTATGTCGTTCTCGATTTCTCTACGCCCTCCCTCCCGTACGGGGAAACACTATTCTTTCTTATTTCTCTTGTCTTTAATAAATCCCGAAAATCTTACCGGCAAACGGCGAAACTAAATTAAACGTTTTTCTCGTTGAAGTAGAAAAGAAAAAAGATTTTTTAAAACGCACTTTAATTTCTATCTTCAGATTCTTCTTACGCTTCGCGTACTCTCACGTGTACAATACAAGTATCTATTGAAACAAGTAAGCCGTAAAAGTGCACGGTCACGTTTAACTACTATGGAAATTCCATTTTAACTTTACGGGCGCGTCCTTCGGTACCCGTCGTACGCGTAGCGCGATATTATGCGGGACGGAAATCGCACGATTCGCGGCTTAGCGTTTCGAACTGTTATCGTGAAAGTTATGGGCACCGTGTATACCTGGCGGCGATTTGGGATCGAGTCCCATGAGATTTCATGGGTATCGTAGCTGCACGACGTAGACGGAGAAATCAAAGAAACGGGACTTGTATCTTGTTTGAACGAACTTCGAAGTATCCTTGATAAATGTAAAATTGCGTCACTCAATACGAACTGACTTTATTCAATTTATCGTCCCATTCGTCCTTCTTCTTCGAAAGGGTCCTACTCGTCTTCGTCGTCCCGGAGACACCTTTGCTCCTCACAGAGCTAAGCCTCCTGACGTTCGATCGGTGCTGGTTGGTCAAACGGAACGTGCCTTTTATTTTTGTCTCTCTTTCTCTTTAATACTAGCTGGTAACAGACAACGGCTCTAGCCAGCTGCAAACGGTAGCGCTAAGGCCGGTAACAGCGGTTACTGGCAAGATCGATCTCATTGGCCAATCGGAAACACGCCGACTTGGTTAACGCTTCTTGCGAGCGTAACAGCTTTTCACGAAAGCTGAGGAGATTTCACGGAGGGGAAATCACTGCGCTTCGTTCATGCGATGCCGATCGATCGTTCGATTGATTTATCACGAGTGTTTCGTATCGGCGGATTGCTGTCCTTTATCGATCATTCCTTTATATATGTATTTCTATATACTCTCTTGAGACGTTGAATAAACTTTTTCAATGTTCCAATGATTCTGCAGCAGCTTGCTCGATAGTCTTACGTACGTTTTACTTCAGGGGGATTCTCGCTTGTGATGTTACATAACTCTTTGTCTCCTGTTGCAGGCCTGGCCCGTGTGAATTGCAGGACCCTTTGTGGGTCAAAATGAGTGCTGTCACTGGTGGCATCACTAAGAAAAGAAAGAAATCAGATGCCAAGCCCCAGTCGCAAATGTGAGTATGCAAAATGTATGTTTGTCAACAAATTTGTAGGTTAGGTTAGATCATAGAACGAGAGAGAGAGAGAGAGAAAGCGAGAGAGTGGGAAGGAGGGGGAGAGAGGGAGAGGGAGAGAGAGATGATAATATCTCCTACGAGATGTATTATATATATGTAAACGTTGTTACCAATAATTGAAATATCTTCATACCCTTCTGTTACTCTGTATTCTTTTTTTTCTTTTAATTGGATTGCAGTAACAAGTGCCTTAACGAGAAACGACGGCGGACCCAGGAGAACTTGTATATCGATGAGCTTGCCGAGCTGATTTCCGCCACGGACATGAGCTCTGGCAAGACCGACAAATGTCAAATCCTCCAGAGAACCGTCGATCAGGTAAGGAGAACAAAAAAATGAAGGAAAAGAATAATAAATGATACGCATACTTAAACTATCGTCTAACCACCTTGCTCACTACTTACCTCCACCTTTGATCCAACAGTACAGATTCACCCATAACCCTTCTTCTCCTGTGTACCTTCACTTCAGCGCCTCGAGTTTCAAATAGCGGAGACTGGGACAGTATCGGATTACAACCCTTAAAACTCACTCGTGTACTGACGGGACTTTGGGCTTTTTTGGTTCTCCGCGAAGCTCTGGAGATCCCGGCCATCGATACGACGAAATTTTAACGAGGAGCTGCCACACGCGGACGCTGATACTCTTGGACAGCTTCCTGCGGACATATTTTATATTCGCTGAGCTCCCTCGTTACGCAGCGAATTCATACGCGTTGGGTTAACGTGTAACGTTAAATGGCACGTAGACTTGACCACGTGCTCGTAATGCAAAGTTTAACAGGGGTTGAAGTCTTCGCTTGCGCGTAGACTTAAAGCTTCCTTGTCCCTCTGACAATTGGGAGCTACTAGGCACCAGTTGTCAAGTCAGTCAGTCGTTCAGTCGTCTCAATGTAAAACGGACTTGTTGGAAAGATAGGAAAAAATAGAGAGTCCGTTGACAAACTTCTTCACGACGATCAGTCTTAATCTAGAATTATCTCAGTCACAAGTGCCACGCGTATACGTAACGAGATCCAATTGTTAAATCAGGAACCGGAAGTTCGTCTGAGAGACGTCCGAGAGTCATATGTTATTCATTGGTAAGACGGGGAAATCGTGTAAGAAAATAAACCAATTTTGGCCTATCAGACCGAACTCTCGCGACATCATCGTCGTTTCGCACGGGAGCGACAGAACAAGCGCGAGACTTGCTGCGGCTCCTTCTTCGAGAATTTATGGCAAATCGCGTCGCTTATATTCCGCTGGGGACTAGTGGCAACGTCGCGCAGACCGTTTGTCGGGCTCTCGGAGTCACCGACTTTTCGAGGCCACGAGCGTTAACGCAGAAGACTCCTCGCGAGAATGGCGCGATCTATTTGCCCGCTTAAAAGCTTGCGACTCGTAAGAGTCTCCCGATATCTCAGTCGGTAATATAGAACTTTTGAGCGATGCCTTCGTTCTGCATCTACGTTCTGGCTACGGGAACCTCTCGCTGCTTCACTTTATCATCTTCGCTTCCTTATCCTGACGTTCGTCCTCGTTTTGGTCCTATGACGGCTGCCCTTGTGTACTTCAGTTATAATAAAAGTCGCCACGCGGTTAATGGCAGTGCCAACGTGGCGACTTTTTAAACGCTTCTAACGGCTTAGGGAAGCGTCAGCTGTTACCGGGGATCTCTTGTTGGACTTTACTATTATATGTATACGTATCGATAAGACAAACCTTCACTTGTTTCGCGTTGGACTAATTCTTGTCTCTCCGACCAGATTGTCATTTGGAGTTTATACGATTCTTTAAAAAAAATAATTTTTATTTTACATATCTCGAGAACGACTCCTCCTGGGCCTACGTGATTTTACTTTTATTTCTTGGCTTTCATCCATTAAAATCTTCAGGTGACGTAAACATTACTCCTGGTAACGGATTGCGTGATCGTAATGATATCTCGTGTCAGGCAAGAAACAGTCCGTAATGAAAATCTTTTTTAACTTGCAGATTCGGCACATCAGGCAACAAGAAGGTTCCAGTAGTCATGCTGTGCAACAGGGAGAAGTTAGCTCGTCGAATCCCAACATACTGTCCAACGATCAAGTCGGTCCAATTCTGCTCGAGGTAGACTGTCTACATACACACGCAAATTTGCAAAAGCAGGAAATGGGGAAACTATGTCAAATATTATAATGATTTTTAATTCGGGATCTTATCGTATCTATAAGTTTATTAGTGATTAGCTATTCTTAAATGGGGATTTATCAAGTGGTGGTTAATACTTTACTCTTAGCATCAAGGTCTTCTATGTTCATATGTTCGCACGAGATCCTACTCAGCGATGGTATTTTGTCGATTTGCAGGAATTTTCATAATTAGGTGTGGATTGACACGCGCGCGATTTCACAAGACCCATTGACTATCGTACAGGACGCACTTAGGAAAAGAAGGGATACTTTTCGACCTAGAGAAAAGCTTCCGGGAAACTTAGAGAGCGAACGTCCACGTGTGTCTGTGTTAGGATCTCGTTAGAGGGTCGTCATTCTCCACTGCTTCCTGTTCCTCTTCGGCGTGAATCTTTCTTTTCGTTTTCGTAGTACAAATATGATGAGATACAAAGTAAGTGTTCCATACGTGCACTGCGTAAAGAGGTTAAGGGAATTTTTGAGAATTCGATTAACGTGCATATATATATATATATATATATATATTTTTTTTGTTTTGAAAATTATTATTGTCCGTCAACTTACTGTCAGAAATATGACGTTGAGACCTTCAGAGACGTAGATAGAAAAGATAGGATTGTTTAGGCACAGTTCAGACGAATGCAACGCGATCAGTCTTTCGTTCACGAAAGGTCGAAGGGAGATTATTGAATGACGTATTAATGCAAGATAAACGATAATTCATGACACCCCATAACCGATAAAACTGAGTGAATCTTTTAATGGGGTAGGATTAGCGTTATTAAAAAAAAAAGAAATGTCGTTCACTTAAGTCCAGTAGGATCGTCGCTTGAGCGAAAGTCTCTAGGGCATTCGTCGCTGCTACAAAAGTTGTGAACTTGGCTTTAATCCTTGTTTTTTTTTTTTTTCCAGGCGCTCGATGGCTTTCTGTTCGTCGTGAACACAGAAGGGCGCGTGGAGTACGTCACGGATAACATAACGCAGTACATAAATTATTCAAAGGACGATGTGCTCGGGAAGGATATTTATAATATTATTCATCATGGAGATCACAATACCTTTATGCCGATGTCGTTAGGTCAGTATTGTATTATTTCGCATGGGTCTGCAAAGACTCGTCTTCCCGGATAGAGAAGTCAGCATGCAGTAACTCGATATTATCAGTTTCTCATAGTGCGGATGGACCACAAGAGGAAGTTTGTGCTGATATTTCGTCGACTTGCAGGCAATGCGAGATAAATAAAATATCTATCGTTCGAATTACTTACGATCTTGAGTTGCTGCGCTGCTATCCTTTACTCTTATAAATCTAAAATCACTGTACTCTTGTAAGTCTGCCGAATTTACTTTTAATCTAATGCCGAGCCTAATGGTCACTGTTCTCAGTGCTTATTTTATATCCCGAGCTATCATCGCTATCCCATTCATTTATCAACACTGTTCAAGATACCCTCAAGGCAATAAGCTCCATTGATGCTGTTCGGCTCATGGCATTAGATTTAATGGTGCGCTATTAGAAATGATGAAAACCATGCCCAAGACATGATTCCATAGTCGTTCGGAGCTAGAGTAATTACCTAGTGAATGATATGGAACCTGTGTTTTTGAATATTTTTGATAATACCTCAAATTGCCAGGTATATCAAATTGCACGAATCAATCCTATAGTTATCTATAGTGAACGCTCGATATTAGAAGATATTTTCTTGTAGACAAATTTATATTCCCGTCAATTTTGACAGTTCAATTTAGTCACCGTGTCTGACGTTTGCTTACATTTTTTTTTTTAGGCTGGACCAGCGAGCCTCAGCACCAAACAAGAAATCGTACGTTCAACTGTCGCTTTCTGGTGAAGCCTCCCGATGATAAAGAAGAGACTATGGAAGAGAAGCAGCAGCGAGTGTCAAAATACGAAACTATGCAAATATGCTCTGCGCTCCTTCCGAATAATGGTGATCGATTAGAGAGTGGCGACGTATCCTCCGAATCCTCGGACGTAGGTCCATGCGTGATGTGTGTAGCACGTAGAATTCCGTTGAACGAGAAGCCTCTGACCACGTCGATCGAGCAGTTCACCGTAAAGCTGGATACCATCGGCAAGATCCTGGCCGTCGACACCAGCTGGTTGTCGCGTTCTTACACCGAGTACCTAAGCAAGGTATACTTAACTCTATTGAGACATCCTAGTGCTTCCTGGGAAGGAAATAAGATGCAAATAAAATTATAGGTATATGATTTGTCAAATGATCATTAACTTTTTATCAGGACCTGATTGGCATGACAATACAGGACTTGTGCCACCCGCATGATCTCAGTAAGCTAACTGCTCATTTGAAGGATACGATCCAAGTCGGCGAGGGTTCCTGCTCTACGTATCGACTTCGTGTCAGTCCTGACAAGTTCCTTAACATTCAAACGAAGTCAAAACTTTTCAAAGCGAATGTGGTGATCGGCCACGACACGGATTTTATGATGTCCACTAATTCTATCATAGGGTAAGTTTATCACTTAATTACTTATGTCATAAGCATTCGTTTATCTAGCTGGACGACTGCCGGATACCGTTGTAACATGATTCCATCCCAATCCCAAAGAACTTGAATCGGAAACAGCGCTTTTTTCACCACACAAACCCACCAGCTCCCATTATGAGGCTCGAACGTGAGACAATGCTTGGGCACTTATTCTTATAGTCCTTAGGGTACGGAAAGGCGCGTATTGCAAAATTGTAACCAGGTTATCTTGCATGCTTCTCGATGAGGGTATTTCGCTCGGTGTTGGAGATCTGGCCACTCTTGAAATCGAATCTATTCCTACCTATGGTTTGAGTTACACTCTACTTTATCTATATATACATATTTGTGTGTATTAAATATTACATAACGTCATAATCACACTGCTTATGGTAGACCTCAGTCACTGTACTAATTGTTTGAGAGCACGTTAAAAAAATAAAATCATTTACTATCCCCCGAGATCCGTCTGTCTGACGTGGAAGCGGGGCTTCGTCAAAACGAAAGGAGAAGTTGAGAAATGTCCTCAGAGGCAATGCGAAAAAGAGAATGGGCAAAGGCAGAGAGCGGGAATAAGAATGAAAATGACAAAAGAATGAGAAATGAAAATACGATAAGCTAGAGATAGACAACTAGTTGCGTGTACAGTACTATAACAGTCAATGCAATATATATTATTTTTCTTTCTTGTCCACGCTAGGGACAATGACTTAACGCCTCTCGAGGGTGGTCAGCTTTCCAACAGCAAACTGTGCTCGGGACACTCTAGTAACCGTTGTGCGAATAATAGTAATAATAACAACACGAGCAGCAACAACAACAACAGCACCAGCACCGTCGTCGTCAGCAGCGGCAACGGCAACAACAATAATCCCGGTAACAATAACAATAACGTGGGTGGTCCCCTGATGTCGGTGGGCCAGCTAAACGGGCAAGTGAGTGGTATAAGTGGTCGTATGTCGAGTAGCGGCGCCGCGCAGTCGAACAGCACGGTAGCGTTTAGCACGGTAGAGCCGTGTAATCCCCACGGCCCGCTGGTTACGAGCAATTCCTTCAACCATTTCCCCACGGCGAGCATGGACTTGGAATTCGAATTCTTCCCTAGTCCCACATGGGACCACTTGGAAAACGCCACCGGATGGGCCGATAGGCCCGATTCGAGGGCGAGTGGCGGGCACATTAATTCACGGCCGCCCTCGCAACCAGCCCCGACTGCTTCTTCTCCGGGTCCCCAGCAAGGAGCATACGCGCCCTCTAATGCGTCGGTGGCGCCGCACTGCAGTCCCTTCAGTAATTCGTTCCCCTTCAGTCCGCTTCAGGAAACGCAGACAACGAGCATCAATGCCAACGGGGGAGCATCGACTAGCAAGAGGCCCGAGGATGGAAGTGGTGCCGGTGCTCCTGGTCCTGGTGGTGGTACCGGCAAGGTCGGATGCCCGACGGCGACGACTACCAACAATATGGACACCGTGGCTACTCCTAGTGTTGCTGTCGCGGCTAATCTTGAGACTCAGAACAGTGTAGTGTCTACGGAGTCCGTGAGGCTCAGGAAATTGTTAACCAAGGGCGCCAGTGTTAGTGACGACAGTCAGTCGGACAATGCCAACGAGTCGGATAACCAAAATAAACATAGGATATTAAAAATCTTGCTTAATCAACAAGATGAGGATGACTATCATGCTGAGCATAATACTAAAGTGCGCACCAGTCCTAGCGGCGTCCAAAAATCCACTGCGGAGCACTCCAAGACCTCGCTAGGGAACAACATGCTTCTCCAGGTAACAGATTAATTTAAAATCAGTTCATCTATCACTTATTCGCCTCATGTGCTTTTTAATTATCTGCGTGAAACACATCCATTCCTTACTTCTGTTCATTGTCTCTTGTATTGTGATATTTATTTGACGCTGGCTAACTCTTCTTTAAATCATAAATCCACCCTGCACTATTACTGAACTTTCCCTGTTTCAAGTTATTAAATGAGAAAAATGACGACGAGGACGAGGAAGCGCGCGCTGGTCTTAAGAAACGGAACGAGCTCCTACAGCAGCTGCTCAAAGATCAGGATGAAGAAAGGAAAATGCAAGAGCAGCAGGTACATTCAGCTATCCGATAAGATTCTCTCGCTTATCAAGCGTGAGTTGCTCAATCTTTTTTTTTTCTTCTTTCATTTCTAATGGCAATCCAGAACCGGGATGATGATCCATTGTTGCGGAGTCTCGGCTTCCGTAATACAACACCTTCGCCCTCGCAATCTGGCGATCACGTGGGTATCGGAGGATCTCAAATTGGACAGAAAAGACCCGGCGAGGATGGTGACTTAAATATAGCAGTGAAACGAACGATGGATGGATCGCATCAAGTCTCTTCGTCGGGCGGTTCGGTATCCTCGGGTAATGCTACTAGCAAACTCTGGGAAAAGAATAAGATGCTGGCTTCTCTATTGGCTAAACAGCCGTCTCAGCCCACGACGATCCCACCGATTCCTGCGTCTGTGATATCGGCAACTCCACAGGTAAAGATTTATAGCTGTGTCGATGTAATATGAACCCACCAAAACATACAGCGATTGAATTCAATTTTAATCGCAGTCTATTTTACCTTCAATGTGATTGGCGGCTACGGCAGTCTTGTCAATCTTAAAATAATATTATTTAAACTAAACCAATTAAATTATTCTGTGCAGTTGTCAGTCATTCACTGGGTAAACGTTTCGTATTAATAGGCTTAGCGTTAATATTCCATGTACGTTATAGGAAAAACTACCCCGTGTGAGCGAACGGCTCAAGCAACACCAGCAACAACAAACGCAACAGCAACAACAACCCTGGTCGGGTGGTGGTATGCAAGCAGTTAGCAGCAACACAACCACCACTAGCGCAACTTCGGCGCGAACTCCTCTTCAAAACCAATCGAGACAACTACCTCGTCAAACAACCAATATCTACCTCAGTCACATGCTAAGTCAGGTCAGTAACAATTTAAATTAGAATCCTCGCGAAAATAGATTTTCGTGCACGTTCAGATGTAGTTAAATAAGTAAACAAGCTATTTCAACTCGAAATAAGAATTGTACGGTTGTTCGACGTATAGCAGAGACCCCAAATGGGTCAAATGGATTCGGAGTTTGGGGCTAGTGGAGATTATCGACAACCGGGTACAGACATTACAACCTGGGACAACCAGTCATCCGATCCGGACTTATCGGATATTCTAGATCAAGTCATCGAGTTCGTACCGGACGAAGGCAAGTATTACTAAAGTATCGATTCTTATTAGACGCCTGTTGATTGCTATAATCGTAATTCTTACGACACCGAGTCTTTCGGTCCCAGTGAAGCACGTAACAGTGAAAGTAGTGACGCTAGTATACAATTTTCATTCAGCAGAATCATCCGCGTTGGCGACTCTTATGGACGCTCTTGAACCGCCGCAAAACAATGTGATGAATGAAAAAATGGCTATAAATGCTATACAGAAGTCGTTGATGCTGTGCGAGTCGGCTGTGGTAAATCCCACGTCTTCCACCATAACGATGCCAGGAACGCCACCATCTTATTCTACGGCTGTAAGTTGCAAGACTGTTTCATAAACGCCTGCAGGTCGTTCATACGCGATTTGCGAAATTAATTAGGAGTCTGATTGAAACAACCCTGTAATTTTTTTAGCTGAGAAATACACCTGTAACGTCAAGTCATAGCTATCAACCTTCGCCATTGTATCAGCAGCAACCGCGGCCACGGTTTAACGCTCAGCCTGGCATAAGGCAAACTGCAGCGCAGTTCACTCAACAGCAACAACTGCAGCTACAACAGCAACGCAGCAAACTGATGCAGCAGCAACAGCAACAGCAGCACAAGCAAAGGCTTCTGCAACAACAGGAGCAACAACACATGCTGATACCGTCAAACGCGACAGCCACGGACCAAATTACCACCGCCATACACAACATAGACAGTTTACTAAATAACACCGTTGCACCGAACGTATCGTTACAGGTACGCGGGCGAGCGATGATATCGGTAATTAGCTTTCCATTAATAAAAATCATCTCGCCGGTAATGTATTATTGCCAGTCTATCACGATCGTCCTGTTTATTCTTTGATTACAGCGGTCCAGCGTACCAGACACACAAGTTTCCCCAGGATACGGGGGATCCGTCCAGTTGCCTTCGGGGCATCGCCTCAGTCACTCCTATTCTCACCCGTCAACGTTACCTCAGCAGTGAGTAGACTTTATTTTTATCTCGTTATCGATCTTCGTTTTACTCACGACAATATACCTCCGGTTCGAATTTGCGTTATTTATGTATTTTTTTTTGCAATTGAAAAAAGTAACATACTCGCACAAATCAATAATTCTTCTCATTGTCTTATTTTGCAGTCCCGTGGTTAATAGCAACTTCAGTAGTGGTCAGCAAGTCTCGGCTGCGGCGCGGTTGTCGCCGCATTCACCGGCTACTATTTTGCCATTTTCACATCCTCAACCGTTGTCGCCGCGAGTCTCGCAGGTGAGTCTCCCGAGGAAAGCCCCGGGCTCACGTACGCATTTAACCGTTCCGTGAGAGCCGGGATTTTCACGGTATTTTCTGCTTCAGGGTAATTATGGTAACGGTCCGAGGATGTTCAATGTTAACCAGGTGAGGCCCCAGCAACAACAGCAGACCCAGCAGCAAATACAACAACAGCAAAGGTCCATGCCGTCGCCGGGTACACCAGCTTCGGCAAGACAGTCTCCTTTCCCTGCGGAAGCTTTTCCTCCACCTGCGTCTCCCACTGCGAGCCAATTCCCACCAGTACCAAATCCCGCTGCTGCCAATCCTCCGGGGCAGTATCGACTTCAACGAACGACCTCCACGCCCTCGGCCACCACTCAGCTCCCAGGTATGCGATTACTCTCTTGACAAGATACGATCAACAAAGAAAGATATCATTGAACCCGATTTCATTTATCTCAAATCATGCGTAATCAAATAACAGTGCAAGCAGGGAATTACGAGTCAATAGAATTCGTAAAGTTTATCCAATCGACGCAACGCACGATTAATAAACACACGTCCGATCGGAAATACTTGTATACTTGAATTACGTGAAACAATCATCAGATAAGCCGGACTGACTTCTACCTTCGTAGAATATTTCATTCTCGGACTCCTCAGGTAACACGAGAAAAGATGGCGTTGTCACGATGCGTATATTTTTTAAGATTTGTGTACGAGACCGATACGCGGTTCTGCGAATTTCGATCATCCTTTTTTTTTTTTTGGTATTTATCTCTTTCGTAACAATAAACTTCGCGTATTTTACGAATTGCCGAGTGGCTACGGGTTCACTTACGGGTTTACGTGTGACACGATTTCTGTACTTGTCGTACAGACTTCTTCTGTGATTCGATTTTGACGTTCACTCATTGTCAGGGTAAGTACTTCATCGAATAAATTTCTTCGCTTTTGAGGTTCGACTGTTCTTCTTTATTCTGGACACTTTAGGGTTGTAGTCGTTTTTGTTTGCTCTAGGCGAACATTTAGCGCTCCTCGCGGCTTAAGTTGCCCTTAACTTATCATTATCATCTGTTACTAATACATTTAAATATTACTGTATCGAACTGTCTATGGAACTTTAGCTTCAGGTTTTTCGTTTTCCTCCTTTCTATATGTTTCGTTATCTATTTCGATTTACTATCTGCGCTTGTGAGTACAAGTACAAACGTAGACTTGATTATCTGTGAGTGTTTTGCATTACAAGAATGCGTGCGCAATGCTTATGATTTTATTTTTTTTGCGCTTCATTTCATCGAACTTCGTACATATTTTGTCAATACATAATTACATAGGAATGGGTTTGTTACGCAACAAGAACGCATTAATATTAAAACAAATGGCGCGTGTGTGATGAGTTCCAATGAAAGTGTATGTCCTGCGAAGTCATAACAAGCCCATTCCATGATAATACAAAGTGCATCGAATGGTCTGTAGTGATGCATATCCTTACTTTTCTTCGAAGTAATTAACAAAAAATAGTTTGGTCATCGACAACAAAAATGCATCGAGGTAGATTTTATTATTGTTGTAGGTGGAGTAGGTTCGCCAAGACACTACGGAGTCAACAAGGAACAACCCCACCTGTCACCTAGTCATCCCCATAACCAACAGCAGCAACATAACGCTGGCAATGCCCAACATTTTTCAAACCAACAACAACAGCAACACACTTCCATGATATATCACACAAGTTCCAACACAATCAACCCTGCTGACGTACAGAACAATCAGTTCTGTTATGATCGAACGTCTGTTTCACTGTACTCAACGCCAGGACCTGGTGACCCGCAGAATCAGGGTAGGCCTCTGCCTCCACCTGGGAATCCTGGAGTTCACCAAATGGGTGGTAAGTCATATGACCTCTTAATGTCATGTGACCATCAGTACATCGTCACCGTCATGGTCATCGTTCATCGTCACCGTTTCACACCTGCTCAAATCATCATTGTTTCTTCCTATTGTGATACATCAACCTGCTCTAAGATATTAACATCTGTCATCGTTTATGTTTGTTTTTTGTCTCTTGTGTTCTCGTGTAGTACTCAAATTCGGGGCACCACGAGATTTTTCCCTCATTCACATCACAATTATGTTACGTTCATACTGTTTGTTTATTGGTGACTGTGTTTCATTGTTTTTTGCGTCATACATGTTTCTCTTTTCTTCTGGTACCTGGGAAAAAAAATCGCCTGCACTTACATGTCAATCATACATATATTTTTCAATTTTAAAATTATTCATCCATTTTTAAATGGAGTAACGAAAATTTTATCCGTTTTGTTCGACCTCGTATCTTTTTGCTTTATTTTTTTTGTAACATACATATATATATATATATCATCATTGAATTAATCAATTGACAAGAGAAGCACCTTGATCACATATGTCAATCTAGCGTTAAATGTTGCATGATGCTTCCTTCGGAGTTTTTCAGCACCGCCACAACCACAACCCACCACCACCACTCGTGTCGTAACCATGCCCAATGGATGCCTTGTATCTGCCCACCATCCTGTACTAATTTGGCGACGTTATTGACAAAAGAACAGACAGATTACGTTACGTCGACTGGTGCGAATAACAATGTCTCGTTAACAAAACTGGATGGATTTTTGTGTATTCAAGGATATTCTTACACGGACGATTGAACTTTGACACCTTGACAGAAGATATTGGAACGCGATTAATAAGAATTATGATATTGGATTTCCCCCCCCTTTTTTTTTTAAATTCTGTAATGAGTCCAGAAAAAAAATCATCCTTGAAGAAAATCCTTGAAATCTGTGTAACGAAGGACTCAAAGTGTTGTATTATCGGTATCATGAACATACGTGATAACACGTAGTATTATTATGCACTGTAATCAAGGAGAATCAGTATACCACGAAGCACGGTATCGGATCTTACAATCAGCACACGTTGCACGATTCGCCTATGTCCGTGAGAGAAGCAAGCTGTCAATTACTATGTGTAGCTTTAAAAAAAAAAAAAAAAAATGATCGATGGAAAAGGATTGAGTATAAAAAGAAAGAAAAAAAAGTGAAAATAATAGCCAAAATATCCGACGGTCTTACAGCTTTGTCATTCATCCTTTTGACCCTCATACTCGATGTTCATCAATGTAATGTAATACCCTTTAATGTACTTTACTATAAGGCCTCTTATCCGTAAGTCGGCAGGAGTGACTTGTGCACTAATGGAGAGACGTGATAACGAAAGTATACCAAAACTTCGAAATCATTATCGAAATAGGTATATAATGTCTGCTGTAAATGATTGTCTGCAATAAAGCGAAACACCCATTTTTCCTATTTGCGTATCGTTTAAACTAGGCGTGCGCGTCGTGCCGCAATTATGTGATTACACAAAAACAACCAAGTATGCCGGAATCATTTGAGAATAGAAGAAATTGAAAATGCGTCGTAATCGCTAAAATTGTACAAAACCCCAAACTTTACCGTGAATTGATATTGTTTTTCTTTTCTTTTCTTTTCATTGCGTTGAACGTGCCTTTGAGTTTTTCGAGTATGCACTTTTGTCTTCATGCTTCTGGTTTTTGTTATCACAGGTAACGCGAGTAGCACGGGCAATATGACGTCGGCGGAATTTGTACGACAAGAGCTTAGGGCGATTGTCGGGGCCCGCACGCAGCAACAGCAACAGCAACAGCAACAGCAGCAGCAACAGCAGAGGGTACCCAACAACATACAGAATAACCTGGCTGGTCAAGTATCTCAGGACGACCTTGAGGCCCTTGGTCTTACCTTCGAGATGTCTTCCGCAGGTGGGTTAAGCAATTGATACTACCGTTTGATTTTTCCGGGTGAAAAAATGAAGAAAAAAAATGCATTTTCTTTCAAAAGATATTTACTTCACTGCAATAAAGTATTTTCGGTCACGATTAAGGAACGGGGAGGAAACTTTTTTTTTTTTTTTTTTTTCCAATTATCTCAGTAATCACTACAGTTGATGCAAACTGCTGTGGAAAAGTATTACAGGCTACTTATAAGGATGTAATTTTTATTATCTCTGTTTTTTTTTTTTTTTTTCAAAATTCTTGTTATACTCAACATGACAAAGAGATCCAAAAATCCATTATCTCCACGCCCATTATTACTATACTGCTAATAGTACTGCTACTTAGCTACGCGTGTTACGATTCAAACGGTTCTGCGATCGCGCGCAAAGAAAATATAAGAGTCTGCGCGTAATTCAGCAGGTCGCCGATTGCGATAACGATTTCGTCCGTTCCAAGAGTAAAGGCTTTTTCGTCACACTTTTACAATACCCTGCCTTCCACCAATGTACATACAATCCCAACAGTGTACAGTACGATTATTACCCACATAGATTACTAGGTACGATAATATCGATTTCGTTTCTATCAGCACATATATATGTACACACATGGGGAGTTTTTAATGGCTGCGATCGAGCCAGTCGTGCAAGAACAACTACTAGCCACGCAGAGAGGCGTACTGTAAATATTTCACTGGTGCTTTGTGGACGTGTCTTAAAATTATAATACGCCGGTCGCGTCAGCGGGGGCAAAGTCGTCGGACAAGCCACGTCACAGTTTAGCGACGACCGATGACCGTGAACGCGTGCATGAGAAGCGTTTCCTGGGATTTTATTTCTTTTTTTTATTTTTCCTCCCCTCCAACCGTCCCGGATGGGCTTGCTGAGACGGGGTTGCGTAACAGTTAATACATGGAAGAAACGTGTGCCTGTGGTGAGACTGTGCGTGCGAGTGGGTATGCTTGTCAACCTTAAAAAAAGAAAGAAAAAAAAGAATATCAATTCCCACCCCTCCAATCAGGACGCCAGGCCCACCCGGAATTTTTTTGTTTTTATATAGAGGAGGGCAATTCTCGCCGAAAGGCAATGCGTGTACAAAGAGACTATGGTAACGCGTGTGTTACGATGTCCCCACTAGGTGAGGCTGTGGTTAGCGATGGCCCCGCCAAAAGCTGGCCAGGAACCGCCCCCACGTCCTCCAGGGTAAGACCCTTCCGACAATTATTTTTATGTACTTCTTCTTGCTCTCTTTCTCTCTCTCTCTCTCTCTCTCTCTCTCTCTCTCTCTCTCTTTCTCACAGACACTTTTTTTAGATTTTTTTTCTTCTATATTGTACATCTTTTTCTCGTATGCTCTTTTTTTATTTATTTATTTATTTATTTTTTTCACTTTCCATACTACTGTCTCTATGACTACTTATCTTCGCTTGGCTTCGTTTACAATTTTAATCCTAACACAGCTGCCATCTGGTATCACAAATAATGACTTTTTACGCTGGATATATAAATGTTTTTTTCCCCCCCCTTATAACGGGTTACCTCATCGTTACCGTACACTTGAAAAGGCGGCGTTACAATTTGTGCGTGATTCTTATAACGTAAATTTTTTCTTTTTTTTTTTTCCTATAATTTCTCGCACGTGCCACGAGGATCTTTATCTTGGTATAAATTATACACGGTGTACTGAATTTCATTTGTTAAACCTTATTCTGCACTCGCTACGGTTCTTATCCTTTATCATGAATTTTCGATTGATCATTTTGATAATCCGCTGCCTGACTTTACCTGTGGCTGAACGGTCCTACGGGACGTCGATGTAGATACGTGGTCAAATGGAAATTTTAGGCACGATGGTAACTTTACGATCGATCGCGTATTATATGAATGAGAAATACAGGAAAGCATTTGGCAGTTGTAGGATTAAAAATAAAATAAAACTTAGTGTGCACGATTGTTCGTAATCTCGGGAATGTTGCAAGTGAAACTCGCGCATTGATCAATCCGTTGTGCGATTGAGCAGATCCTTATGGCTTGTGAGATGCTGGTGATTAAAAAAAAAAAAAGAAGGTAAATAAAAAAAAGAGTTTCGCTCGCTGTCATTCTTCTGAGATATTTTCGAACTCTGTTTCTGTCTCTCTCTTTATCTTTTCCTGTTAACTGTTAACGAGGCGTATCGACGTCGCAGCGTTTCACCAACAAATCGCTATTTCTAATTAATTATTGTCGATCGATTTGCTCTGTCTATAGTTGTTGCTGATTAAAAAAAAAAAAAATTGTTTTTTTTTTTTTTCATACTTGGTGTTTATTCTCTGCCATTTTGTTTTCAGGTTAGCGTAGTCTGTTGAGTATTTTTGCAAATTCGTGAACTAAACCGTTGTTATCGCTACTAAACAATGAAAAACAGAAAAAAAAAACCTCAAGGCTTGTGTCACTCCCAATAAATGTTAATTGATCTATAAATAATGCCTACGCCTTTGTAAGGGAACATCCTGTAGAAATTGTTGTAGTATAAAAAAGTTATTTGTAGAGAAAAAAAAAAGGTTTTGAGGTTTTTTGGTAACACGAGAGCTCTAACGCTTTTCACGATAATTTCCCTCCGATACTTATATCCCTGAATTCTCTTTGGCATTCGCATCCTAATCGATCGTACCGGTCGAATCATTGGAGTTCTTTTTGTTCTCTCGTACAGCCAATTGAAAACGATGATTCGGCATGATTAAAGCATAAAATGCGAAACAATAGACTCTACCGCGGGTGATGGTGTCCATAGCTTTTTTTTTGGGGCTCGTTTTGTATAGGAAACAACAGCAGAGACACGTATTTACACGGTATTCATACGCATATCCACGTAAACATCAGACACTGTATGTAAAGCTGTTCAAAAATTGGCGCGTAAATTTTTTTTAAATTTACATAAGGTAAACGTCCCAGTTACCGACCTTCTCAGGAAATCCTATCATTCAAATCGCGTAGATTTACAGTGATACTCGTCTTCCTGTTTTTGACGATCCTAATCGAGTCCCAACTATGGCGATGATATTCTCTGTCAGGAACCTGGGGGGCACTTTCGGTAACTGGGCCCTTCACCTTATCCTGGAATTTTTTCGTAATGCTTTTTCACAGTTGACCAAAGTGAACCCTTTGCGCTTAGTAAGTATCTTCTCCAAATGCATGTTCAGTTCCACATAGTAAAGCGTTGCAAACCCATAGGAGTGTTAAGTCATTCGCGAAAGAAGTCTATGTATATTGAACACGACGGATACAAGATTAATTCGAACCTACGACTGTCCGTATAACAATTGTCGTGTTCTCATCACTCGAAAAAAAGATACTCGTGCGGAAAGTCTATTGGAGCCAGTAGCGTGACGTGTCAGTCGAATAAATTGTAAGGGGTATCGCAAGCGTCGGAGAACCAAAAAAAAAAAAAGAAAAATCGTTTACCACGTGAAACAGTGTCCAATAGTAACCCGTTCGTGTCGCTTGTAAACGTCGTTAATCTGATCCGTGCCAAAATGCTTTAATCGTGTAAAACTGCTTTCAGTAATAATTTCGGTATACCACTTAATTTGCAGGAGGGAGCATGCTAGTGCGTACTCGTATCGCGTGCTTGACAGTGCATCAGTCTCTGCTTTCGATCGTCAGTTGACCTCCGTGTCGACGGATCTGGCGGGAAATTTGAATCCCGCAAAATGACCGCTCGACACATAATCGCGATTATAATTAAAGAAATGATGAAGCAGTGGCGGCAATTTTTTTTTTCTTCGAAAAATTTGTCGTTATCAGTTGGCTTTTATTGCCCGGACCTATGGGACTCCTTCAAAGTGGACCACATCTCTGTATACATTTATCTTACGACTCTGGAAACGCTCGCTCTTCGCCCGAAGATCGACGCCAATTTCCGATTTCATAATAAAGCATCCTCGCGATTTATTCTTATACCGACGAGATGGGAATAAAGTTAAACATTTTTTTTTTTTTTTTTTTTTTTTTTTTTTTTTGAAATCTTATTTTAAATAGCGGTCAACAAGAATTCTAAATTTCTTATTCAATTATTTACAGACTACTATGGAGGAGGTGGCCCGAGGTGATCCGAAGTCGTCGCTGCTGCAGAAATTGCTGTCCGAGTGACTGCGGCTTGTACCTTTGCGAAATAACGAAATCTATGTAATATATGTCTGAGCGTTAGAGACGGTCGGGGAATGATGGGGCGGAGGAGGAGGGGGAGGGGGGATATATGATTACAATCGGGATTTGGGGAAAAAATGAAGTTTAACACTCACGCGCGCGCGCGCGCGCGCACGCGCGCACACACACACACACACACACACACACACGCAACCAACATAACACACACGCACAATACACACAACTTACTCATTTGCATAAATGAATATCCACGTGTGCGTGTCTTCATGTTAATATCGATGCGCCATACTGGGACAGATAAGAGACAGTGAGTACTGATAATTTTCAGAAATTGCACGGAGTACTAAGAAAAAGCAGTAACTTGTACTCTTATCTTTCCCTGTTTCTCTCTCTCTCTCTCTTTTCATTCTTTCTCTCTGTCTTTCTCAATACGTAACTCAATACTCGTTTTGTTAAATTCAATGTATTTACGATGCAGAATAGTAATAACAATGGACGCGCTCATGCATGTAATAACGCGCACACGTGTTACCGCAGGGGGTACATAAAAACGGATATACATAAAGACCATACACAATACTACACACAACAATATGCAGATACGTATCGTTGGGTACAATGACGATGATAAAAGGCGTGACACTTTCGAGTTATGTGTGTATATATATATATACATATACATATCGATTGTAAAAGTCGCGGACGAATGGATAACAGAAAATTTTATGATGATTTGAGACAATGATTTGAAGAAAGAAAAGAAAAAGATAAAGAAATATGACGCGTCGTAATAACTCGCCAAACTGGTCGGCATGAGACGAACCAGTACCTTCCATGGCGGATGATTTTGAGAACGCGTCACGGAGCAGAATTTAAAAGAGAAATCTGTGCACCCCCTTTGGCACGTATTTTTTGTTCGCTTTTTATTGACAAGGACAGTTTTCGAGAGACAAAAGAGTGAGAGGGAAGGTCCCAGGGCCCAGTCGCTGTTGCGCCTCGTACGTTGGCGCAATAAAGGGAGGAGCGTGAAGGAAAGAATAATGAATAAATTAAAAAATGATAACAGAGCTCTATTATATATATATGTATATATCTATATCTATATATATATATATATATATATATACATATATGTATATTAATATACGCATGCGTATGTACGTATTGATAAAGTGTACTATATTTCCTCGCGAATTTTCGAAAGTGCCGCGCAAATCGTACTCGCCATTGTATTCCGGTATCACTGAAAGAAACTACGTAGGTACCTCAAAGGTATACTTTATTATACCACTGGCTGTTGAACATAGAACTATTTATAGGTTTAATTATTGTACACAGGAAAAAATAGAGCACTATCACGTTTTTTCTTCTTAATTTAACATCCATTTTGACTATTATATTATAAATAATATATTTGTGATTGTAAGAATCTGCAACCAAAATGTGACAAAGAATACTTGTTGTTGTTAATATGATTATAACTATTATTATTATTATTATTATTATTATTAATTATTGTAATAACTATTATTATATTATTTTATTATTATTATTATATCAATATTGACATCATTATAATTATTACCAATATTATTGTTACGAATACTATATTGTAATATTAAGAATTATTTTATTATCATTATTATTATTACATTATTATTATTATTGAACACTTGGCGTATGTATATTTCTATTGGATAGTAAGCAGGTATACCTTTATATGAATACATGTATATACGTTTATTGCGTATATATGTCTATTGTATGTAAAGCAAGATGGAAAAGGACGAATCGAGACCTTCTATTTTGCGTAGTTCGCTAATAATCGTTTTTTGTTCTCTTTTTTTTTTTGGGTACTAGATGCACACTAAATTACTTTTGAAACGACGTCTGTTGTTATATAAATAAAAACAATATTTAATTATATACACGCATATGTATGTATATATGTATATGAGCATGCTTACATACACGTGTACATAAACATACATATATCAGGCGTCCCCGCGCACGCGCACTCCTTTCGCGCTTGTCCCGCACGGGTCCCCTTACGGATGGCGACGTTTGCGCGTCGAGATCAAGCGACGCATCGGAACTTTGGTATTGGGCGCTTCGCGCGTTTGTCTTTGCGTTTTATTTTTCTTGCTCCCGACAAAGACAATTGTTCGAATCGATATGGAGCCCCGCGCGTCTCTCTCGTCGGCCGTGCAGAGATAGCGGGGTCGGGACGCCGGCACGGTATGCATCTGTACATATATTTGTACGTATGCATATATATGTATATATATATAAAATGAGTTATGTCACATAAATAGATCATATGTGCTTTCTAATGACGAATAATTTTATAAATATAAATATAATACCGACACGTGTGTCCTCATTGTTGCTGGTGCAATCCGTGACTGATTGTAAAGGGGTAAAAACAATGGATACTTCAGAGTCTGAATATGTTGTTTGTGAGAAAAGGGTGGTTGGAATGGAAGTTGCGGCGGCAGGGAATCCACGTAGGGAGAGATACATGTGTTTGGCACGTTTGAATTTATAGACTTATATAAAAGTAATTTTATTAACTTTTGGTACACACTTACATCGGCATTACATGCGTTAATTTAATTATAATTTTTTTTGTATTCTTTCACGACACGCCGAATTGCTTCCTTAGGCAATATCGCATTTATGGCACGGCATGTCGGTCTTATAATTTAAACTACCGACATCGTTTACGCATATTATATACATAAGGTTCCTTCTGGCACGTTTCTTTTCTATCTTGGAATCATTATGCCTAGGTCACTCGATTAATGGGCCTGCCTGTGCGTCCTCGTCTACGGTAGTTGAAAGGGATGCGTCTGCCACCTGGACCAGGTTGCCTACGTCCGCCCTGTTGCGGATATCTGTAGTACGGTCGATTACCTGTAGGGGGTACTGGTTCCTGGGGAACTCGATACTTTGGTGGTGATGCTGGTGGAACGTTTTGATATCTCTGGGACGTTCTTGAGAATTCATGCAAATTGCTACGTTCCTCTTCGGTGACGCGACGTCGTAGGCAGACGGCGCATCGACTGACGCGCGACGTGTGATCAGCCTTCAGGGTCTGCTGCAACGGTTTCCGGAACATCTCGTTGTCACGGATTGTCGCTAGCCAGTAGGACGTTGCTGTGGAGAAGTAATTGCAAGTGCCCAGACCTCGGCACTCGATGAATGGACGCGCACGGAATTCCTCCAGACAGGAACCTGGGGAAACCAGCGATTGGCCAGCGCCTGCCGCACCGGCGTCGCGATGCTGAAATAGGAATTGTTAGCTGTTTACTATTCATGGTTTGGGGTTGTTTTGTTGGTTCAGCGCTGGGTTCGTTTACCATTAGGAAACTGTATCCTATCCAGAGCTCTTCCCAATCTCCTGGACACTCGGGTATTGCCATTGATTGACTGTGTACCGCGATTAATCTTGTTGGAGCTTCGCACACTGTACATCTTGAGATATATCTGCCGACTTCCGGTGCCGGAATTGGGGCCATTGTCATTGGCATCGGTTCCGTCGAGCTCAGCCAGTAACTGTAATCGTTGCGCTGCGCGTAGCTGCACACGTTGTTCGGATCGCAGAAAGTGAATGGCATTGTTGAGAATTTTCTTGCGCAACTTCCGGCCGTACCTGGGGAGGTGAAATTGTATGGATGTGGGTTACTTAGATTTTTAACTAGGAATTTTATGTATTACCTAGGTCTAGGCCAAAAGCGTGACCATTGCCCATGATGTGTAACAATGAAAATCCATCCCAGAGTTTAACAGTGTTTCTTGGACAAAGTGGTATCATCTCAGATTGAGAGTGTCTTGCGAAATGGAAACCTCTGTTACGTGGTCCTGGTGGCGGTGGTGATGGGTCTCCTCGTATTCCGGGAAATCCTTAGAAGAGAATCTAAGGATTAGGATGATGTCGAATGGGAATTCATGAACGGAATAGATACCTGGACTTCCGGCGTAACCGACAGCACCTGGTGGACCCCTTGGACCAACCTCGCCAATATATCCGTCTGGACCCTGAATTCCTGGCAGTCCTATCATACCGGGCTCGCCAGCACGTCCTGGGAGGCCTTGCTTTCCAGGTAAACCGATCATTCCTGGTAGTCCAGGGGTTCCTGCATTCGATTGGCATTGGTTAGTTGCCATTTTCTTAAAAATGATATCAAGCTTTTGACTTTGTAACAAAATACCTGGACGTCCCGGAAGTCCTACGTCTCCTTGCGGCCCTAATCTTGGGAATGGTGGGAAGATGCTAATTCCACGATCTCCTTTAGGTCCTTTAGGTCCTCTGACTCCTGGGCGACCAACCGGTCCTCGTTCTCCAACGTCTCCTTCAATTCCCTTTAATCCTGTAAAACCATTAAATCCTGCTTGTCCTTCATCTCCCCGGTGTCCTTTTTCTCCAGGACGACCGTCAGTTCCTGGCCATCCTATATCTCCAGGTAGCCCTTTGGCGGCCGTAGCCGACACGCCGGGTTTACCGCAGTATCCCTTTGGTCCTGTGTATCCTTGAAGTCCTTCGAGTCCTCTAAAACCGGGTTTTCCTGTAAGTCCGGAATATCCCCTGAGACCTGAAAAAATGGAGGAATATAAAAAGCAGGTAACCAACTGAAATACACCACTATCATTATTATTCAATTAAGTACATAATTATGCAAACCTTGATCTCCTGGCAATCCTTTCGGTCCAGGGATGCTGGGCCCTATATCTCCTGGGATTCCTCTACGACCGGTCATTCCGTATTCTCCAGGAGCTCCTTTTTGTCCTGGTATACCGGGCTTTCCTGCAAGTCCATTTAAGCCCGGCAGACCTGGTTCACCAGGTTCCGCAAACTGTCCAGGTAATCCTGATAAATGGTGAGTGTTAATATGATTAATTTTATTTAATCATTTATGTTATCAATGAAACCCATTGCTTATGCACACCATTTTTATATCGTACTTTCTTAATCTTTTAATTATCAATAGGGGTGAATTGGTGATTGAGGAATATAGGAAAAAAGGCAGTCTGTTACTTCGAGGAAATATTGGCATAGTATCGATTTTGACGTGATTTTTCGATTCACGGTCACAAGGCGGCTCCGGCTACCGATACAGATAACGTTCTCGATTTCTGGTTCCCTTCGGGTCGCCACCCTGCTCAGAAGCTACGCTCTCGGGTTGATTCGTACAGTTATGTCAAGGCTCTCGTAAGATTTCGTTATTGTTTAGTTGAGGTCGAGGTGCTCGAATCTACCGTGGGGAGATAGTCTCGACGTACCGAGTTGCCCGGCAGAGGAGAGTACCCGACGGAGACGTCTCCACGGACCGGCAGAAGCCCGGGTGAGATACCGGCGCCCCGCTGGAGATGGGCAAAGGGCTGTATAGCAGGCGGAGATATAATTTTGATAGGGTCAAGGACAGGGGAGGAACCCCCTGGCCCGAGGTAAGAATGTGGGGTCCAGCTGTCGCCCGATGACCTGGGGAAGCGGCCGTGGAGGATCTCCAGAAGTTACGTACCGATTCGTTAAGGAACGCTCTCGATTTGGTTTAAAGGGACGACTCGAAGGAGATAGAAGAGTTATCGGTTATAAGGCTCTCGACCAATCAGAATGATTTGTTCTCGGATTTGGTTATTGTCAATCGACTGCTTTAAAGCAGTCTGTCTCGGGACACCGACCGAGGTGTCACGGGCTGCCTTGTGCTCCCGTGCTATCTGTTGATAGTTTTTCTTGCCGTGTTTCGCTACGGTATAGCAAGTTCTCGACTCGTGCAGTTCTCGCGATATCCAGGCAATTCTATGAATTCCTGTGAGTGTTCCGAAAGTGCAGTGCCGTGCCCCAGTGCAGTGCCCACCCGAGTGTCTCCTGGATGCAGTTCTTGGCCTTCACGGATTAGCTGCACCAGCTCCCGTGAGTTCTCCCAATTTATTAATCGGTGAAGAGATTTCGATTTGATAGTTCAGATTCGTTCTGTTACGTTCTCGATCCGTTGCTCCCTGTATCGCGCACTATTTGCCGGACTCTTACTCCGACCCTCTCTAGCTCAACCTAGCAGCCTGAGCGGCCGCGCATTTCCGTAACCGTCCGCTCCCGTTCGAGCATCCAGTTGCGCTTGCTGATTTTACGCGACCCCAAAGATCAGCACCTACGGTTGCGTTTCTCGATTCTACGCGTCCCCAAAAATCGACAGGATCCGTTAAGCTACCGCGTCTTCTGATAGGTTCCGTCAGAGCTCTCGTTCTTGGTGGAGTTGGGCCTGTTCCACCCCAACTCCCAGTTTATACCGGCTCGTCGGTTCCCGGTGAAAAAAGAATTGGCTGGCGCCCGCCTGGCATGCGGATGCATGAGCGAAGGGTGGACGGCCGAAGGTAACGTAGGTTAGTTATCGAAGATATTTCGTTCTCGGATTTTATGCTATCAGTGTCGAGTTAAGAAAAAATACGTTACACGATACAGTAGAAAATAAAAACTGTAAATCACATGCGCTTTAGATTCGCATAGAGGCGAGGGGGCAGGATTACATTATCAGAATTCGAATGCCAATGAATTCGAAAGAAGCTTACATGTGTGTTGATAAAAACGTATATGTTGTGCAAATCTTATGTCAATTATTATAACATTGTTACCTGGTAATCCAGGAAGTCCTCGATCTCCTGGGAGACCTTTAACTCCTGGGGGACCTAAAATACCTTCTCTGCCCGGGAAACCAAGGTCGCCTTGTTCACCCTGTATTAATTAAAAACTGGTAGCATATAAAAAATACTTTTATTTATTATCAATTTATTTTTATTAATTATTATCAATACCTTTCTACCTGGTGGTCCTGGGAATCCTAAATCACCTCGATCTCCTGATCTTCCCAATAGTCCGTCTATTCCGCTTTCACCTACGTCACCCTTTGTAGCTTCAGCATACGATGGGTATCCTGGTTCTCCTAGTTCACCCTTAGGTCCTGGAGGGCCAGTTGTTCCGCGGGGTCCTGGTGGTCCAGGGTCGCCAGGGTATCCTGTAATTTCAGGGAAATATTTCTATTGTGCACTAAAAGGTATCCAATATGTATGTATACATATATATCGATTAATAATGTTTCGAACGATTAACGATTTATTTCTTATTACCTGGTAATCCCATTTTTCCAGGATCACCTTCCAATCCGCGTAATCCTTTGAGACCATTCAATCCACGTAGACCTATTGGACCTCTGGCACCTTTCACACCGTTCATTCCATTACGTCCATGAAATCCCGGAAGTCCTTTCGGACCACGATCTCCAACTTCTCCTGGTAATCCATCAGGGCCCATGTCACCTATTTCTCCCTGTACAGTTACGAATGCCAAGATACATTTGTACGATATATTTAATTATTAACTATTTACCTTTGGGCCAGGTAAACCATTATAGCCGTCAGTGCCAGGTTCTCCCTTTTGTCCCATGGCACCATCATAACCATCTATCGATAACCCTGGCTCTCCAGGAAGTCCTGGCTGGCCATCGAATCCCGGTCTTCCAGGATATCCTCGTTCGCCAGTAAATCCAGGTTCACCAAGATCTCCTTGTGGTCCGCTGAATGAATTTTCTCCTGGAGGACCATCTGGACCATCGATACCATAGTCACCACGAGGTCCTTTGGGTCCTGGAAGACCGATCGACCCTGGAACTCCTGGAAGTCCTGAGTCTCCTCTTTCTCCTTTCGGTCCATAAGGTCCTGAGGTTCCGTTAATTCCATCCCAGCCTAGAGGACCTTTTTCTCCTGGTTCACCGATATCACCTTCCTCTCCAGGACTTCCTTGACTTCCTGGTGATCCGTACATTCCTGTATAACCTTGAGGACCCGCATCGCCATCTTCTCCTCGTCGTCCTAAAGGGCCTATCTCACCCTTCAATCCTTTCATACCCTCAAAGCCAGGTGTGCCATCGGGTCCTAAAGATAAAAAGAAAATAATGGCAATTAGAAAACATTATAATAATTTATATAGATGGATAATGTAAAAAATATTTTTACCTTGAACCCCGTAGTCTCCCACTTGTCCACGCATTCCAGGCATTCCTGGAGTTCCTGGATAACCCCTGCTACCCTGAATACTGTCACCGTGTTGACCTTTCGATCCCTATATGGGACATTACGTAATACTAAAAACTTTTAACAATATTTCTAATAATATATCTCTAAAATCTTACCTGGAGACCAGCCAGTCCTGAATGTCCTGGGGCACCCTTTGAACCCTTAAATCCCTTTACTCCGTCTATACCGGGTTGTCCTCGAGGTCCTTCGGGTCCGGGAAGACCAAATTCACCTTTAACGCCAGTTGGACCTCGTTCTCCAATATCTCCATAGATGAAATTAGTTCCAGGATCTCCTCGTTCTCCTTTTTGTGCCGTAGGACCCTGATAATTCATAATTACTAAGCATAAAGTTTTCAATAATCGTTGTCACAGAAATACGTGATTACGTACTGGTAGTCCTGTAGGTCCTTGGAAACCAGGAATACCAGGAGGACCACGTGGTCCTTGATCTCCGGGAACTCCTTGATATCCTTTAAGTCCTGGGGGACCTTGACGAGAAAGTCCTTGTGGTCCTTGTGGTCCTGTCGGACCAATTATACCAGTATCACCCGGTCGACCTCGAGCACCCTTATACCCATCGAATCCTGTTTAAAACATACAACGTTTAATTATGTAAAATTAAAGAAAGATTTATGAGTAAATCGTAATTTTTACGAATATTAAAAAGTACCGTAGAATCCTTGTTTTCCTTTGAATCCCTTATCGCCTTTCGCCAATAAGGTATATTTATCGGCCGAATCTCCTGGTTCACCTTTGGCTCCCATCTCTCCAGGGGGACCCTTGTCTCCTGGCTCCCCAGGATATCCAGGATCTCCTTGAAAATATTCGATTGGACTTGAGGCAGGTTCACCTTTGACTCCTGGACTTCCATCACGTCCTGGAACACCATTCCTTCCCGGGATTCCTGGTAGACCATAGTCGCCCTATTAAAAAGTTTGCAGTCATTACTAGAAAAGTGAAGAGATCACAGAACACTATAAGATGAACATTATTTTATACCTTTTCTCCCTTCATTCCGTTCATTCCATAATCTCCAGAAGGACCCGGCAGACCTTTAATACCGGGGAATCCTTCGGTTCCAGGGAATCCCTTGTCTCCCTTATCTCCGGAAGGACTGATTATGTTACTACCCGCAGGCCAAATCACTTTTCCTGCTTCACCTTTCGGTCCTTGCGCTCCAGCTATGCCAGGACGACCGCTGGCACCTTCAAGTCCCTTAGGACCCTGACTGCCAGGATTTCCTTGAATTCCCTTAAGACCTCTGGGTCCCGGAAGTCCCACATATCCGGGTAGACCAGCATATCCGTCTAGACCGGACTCACCCCTCTCTCCCTTTGCTCCCGGAAATCCTGTATGGTAAGGAATATCGAAATTATCGATGAGTCCTTCGAGTATAATTTAAAAAATCGTAAAAATTTATTTTCTGTTGAGAATTTTGAATTAATGCATTTTTTTCTTACCCGACTGACAAACACCACAATCGTCTCCACGAGTACCCTTAGGACCTTTAAATCCGGGAACACCTGGCCAACCATCCAAACCCCGGAGTCCCGGTATTCCTGGTAAACCAGGTTCACCCGGCGGACCTTGTATCCTTACGCCCTTGCCAGGGACGCCCTTGGGACCTTGATAAATAATTTAAAGAATTCTATTTGAGTTGATTCTATAATTATTCAATAAATTTTGAATCTTAATAAATACTTACCACGTGGACCTGGTTCACCACGATCTCCGAGATCACCCGGATAACCGTCCGTTCCAGGTTTTCCATCTGGACCACGAGGTCCCTCTACCGTGCTTCCCGGGAAACCTCGTTCCCCTACTATGCCTGGTAGACCTGGACTCCCTCGTGGGCCCTGTACTCCCGTACTTCCAGTAAAACCTAAAATTTAATCATCAATTACAACAATGCCACAACAAAACATATAACACTTAAAACTTTTATTAAATTACCATCATCTCCCCGCTCTCCCTTAATCGAAGATCCTTTTCGTCCTCGTATCCCTGGAATACCTGGCGGTCCTGGTGGTCCAGGTGGCCCGATATATCCTACTTTGCCAGGAAGTCCTGGCAATCCAGGTTGACCCCGTTCTCCGGGAGGACCTACAAATGGTATATTCAATTCAATTAATACAACCAAGTCCATTTCCATACTAAGCTTATCACACAGTCGTTCATCTAAACAGTCGTGGATGATCTCACACGGAGATACCATAATAGAAGGTCGCAAATACTGAGCTGACGCAATTCACTCAAGAACGGTTCTACGCGAAGCATTACATTGAATTGGCAACGCATCAAATTCAATGGTATCCTTATTACAGTAAAAAGAAAACTCACCGACTTCTCCCTGAACTCCAATGTTACCAACAATGATCTCATCCAATTCAGGAATATATAAACCAGGTTCTCCCTCGGCTCCCTGTCTTCCCGGAGCACCCGGATTACCAAGTTCTCCAAGCTCTCCCTAGAATCCCCATACAAATTGTGAACGCACCTTTACGTTTATTTTACTACTGGGTTATCATACTGCATGAGAAAATGCAGCATTTCCAGCAAACAATTCTAGCAGCAAGAAGATTCAGGCTGATGTTGTTCTAGTGACGAAAAATTCCATCTTAAAGCAATAAAAAAATATTCTTACATCCGAACCGTCCTCTCCATTTCTACCAGAAAAACCAGGAGCACCCTTATATCCCTTTTCACCAGCAGGTCCAAGGGGACCCTGGATACCTTGTTTACCTCTGGGACCATCATCGCCCTGTTCACCCTTCGTCCCTTTAACACCAAGAAAACCTGCTCGGCCCTAAAAAAAAAAAAAAAAAATAGAATCTTGTAAATTACCCTAAATCTCTATGAAATCAATTTTTTCATTCTAAATCTATCTAACCTGTGGTCCACGCATTCCTGGTTCTCCCTTGAGTCCTCGATCTCCGATATCACCAGGATAACCTTTTGCACCCTGTTTCCCTTTACTGGTTGTGGTCGTATCCTTGCCTACTGTTTCTCCAGTACCAGGAGGTCCTGGCTCTCCTATGTCTCCTTGTTCACCAAGTGGTCCTTGCACTCCGTACACGGTGTCTCCTTGCTCTCCCTTGAGTCCTGGAAGTCCATCGGGACCGGGAAAACCCTAAGATGGAAAAATTGGGTTCCCTGTAAATCATTTATTTCTCCTGGAACTTTTCGTCAGCTTATAATATCTTCATCATCCTCCGGGGACTAGTCGAAAGAATATTCCCAAGAAAAGATCATCGCTATCAAGCAGGTCAGCAAATACCGTGAGCCAGTCGAGAAGCTCGTCTCAGATTTCACCCGGTTGTTTCGACGACCTCGCGATAATGTCGCCTCGTGGTTCGTTATCACTTTACGCTAGAGAAGCGTCTGCTGGCTGGTTAATATCAAAAGCGGCATAGGGTAAATCTTACGTTAGATTTATTAGTCAGAAGAAATCTAATATTAATTATTACAATGCCACTATTAGGTAATTAATTTTTTAATATAAAAAATCAAGGAATTCAAAAAAAAAAGAAAACATGCAAAATGAATTAATCCGTGGCAATGTTAATCGACATGAATTTCTTTGCGTATCATTTCTACGCGGCACCTTTGACGAGCAATTAAGGCAGTTTTCAATAAGGGTCTCGCAAACCCGTTCAATGAATCCGTTTAGCCGGTTCTCGGTAACTTTTATTTTTACTCTTCGACCGCAAAAAGTTCCTCGGAGGATCCTCGATACTTCGTGGGGCAGGTGGCTCTCGGGAAAAAAAAAAAAAGAGATTTAAACAACCGCTCGCGCGCGCTCACGTAGTCGGTTCCGAGTGTTCCCAAAGAATCGCTGACAATCTCTTCTTTGTACGGGAGATAAAAGAGCAGGCGAAGATGTGTACGACGATTTCAAACGAATTACATAAAAATTTCTAATAAGAATTCAAAATCGTAACACCGATAGAAATCTTTGTTTTTAATTATACGAGTAATTTACCGCTTCACCACGTTCACCGGGATAACCCAATTCGCCAGGTATACCCTGTGGTCCAGGAACTCCTCTCTCACCATCGATTCCAGGAACACCACTTATTCCCTTCACACCGACGGAATTAATACCACCGTCTCCAGGTTCACCAACAGGTCCTCGAGGACCTTCCGGTCCTGGTGGACCGCGTTGTCCATAACGTCCAGGCATTCCTGGTGCTCCTGCACGACCGTCAGTCCCGTTGCACCCATCCAGACCATCTGGTCCCATGGGACCAGGGATACCAGGCTGTCCCTATACGGATAATATATCTTAAATTTGTTTTTATTTTTTATAATATAAAATTAGCCGAGTATGAATTTTTATAAAATTGACTTACATCTCTGGCTCTGGGTCCTTGGAATCCTTTTGGACCTTGTTCACCCTATATGAACAATTATAATTAATAATGATTAACGCCTTATTGATAATCAATTAAATTTATCAATTACGTCATAGCAAGTACCGTGCAGGTACCATGTAGGTCACTGTGCATTAAGTATCGATACGCAAAAAGCATTGTATTTCTCAAAGTGTTGTCTCTGACCTAGAAACTCGTATGTGGTAACGCATACGCATTTCCTTCGTATTCCTCGTTTCACGCCTACGGCGCTCAGGAAACGCTTTCAGAGTTAACACATAGAATCTGATCTTGCAGCGTATTGGTGTATACTAAAGTCTCGAGCAAACAGAAACTTGTATGCGTCGCTGCACTCAGCCTGAGGATACAGGAGGAACGGTGATAAAAAAAAATAAGTGTCAAAAAAAAATAAAAGACAGTCGGTAGAATAAAGAGCATTAATGGAAATACCAATTGGCGTGAAGTCGGTGTCAAATGAATCGTACATATGTATGATCCTGTTGCTGGAAAACTACACGAGTAGACGGATTTGACGTTTCAATTACATATCCAGAAACGTAAGGAGCGAGAGATATTTATTTAGAAATTTAGATTTTCCGACCAGAAACAGAGATCAAGGAAAGAAAGTGAGGAAACAAAAAAAAACACTCAACATCCTTTACCGTCTTGTATACGTTTCTTGCAATTGCTGAGGGCCTTTTTGAAAAATAAAAGAAAAAATAAATCTGGATCGTGGGAAAAAATGAAAATTGCCAGTAACCCGTCATACGTCACTCCGTATGCTGTTCCAGTTTTCTTTTCGGCTTTTGTTAATTTCCCTAGAAAGTGACGTCGCCGCCCTAAGCAAACATGCGCGCCCGCCTTCTCGTGAGAACGGGAAGTTGGTGTCACATGGCCAGCCAGTGCAGTTCGAACATCGACTTGGTCATTATTTACCGTGGAAAATCGGCATAAATACCTGTATAAATAATCAAAGGGACATACCGATACCTTTCGAATTATTTTATCGTTCCGAATCAGATGATATCAAAGGATTGAATTAATGGACCGCATATTTCCTACGCGCACCGTCCGAGGTTGATCTCAGTTTTCTTTTTGGCGTATATTAATACACGACTGCCCTACATGGAGAGAGAGTTGACGTTTCGGGGTCCGTGCCTATAGGATCCGTAAAATATTATTATGTCTAGAGCAACGGAGTCTGGGCTAACGAAAAGCTAACAAAAGTTCATACGGTGCAGACACGTTCACGTAGACACTATTCCCAGAATAGCCGTGAAATTAGTTCCAGATATATATTAGCTAACCTAACAGGGTCTTAGGCTGCTTAAGAAAACTTCTCGGACGTCAGATCGGCGGGATGCAGTATTAAGAATCTATCGAAGTCAGATACGAACTTCCGGTTGGTAAAAGTATAAATAAATAAAATTTAACAATTATAAAGAACGAAAAACGGATGTTAAGAGTATCACGTTGGAATTAAAATCGCATAATAAAATGCGTTATCTATTGTTACATGTAGAAAATTTTAGGTTATGTATCGACGTATCTGTGTATGAGATCACTGCGCAGCATCCGGTTAACGTCCAATGGGAAGTGCGTTATCGTTTGCACGCGTGTCTCTCGCTGATTCCTCCCTTGTTCTCAGCTCGAGCGAGAGAAAAATTCATTCCCGTAGGAACAGAGTCCCTCAGAGAGAAAGAACAGGACGTTGTCGGCACCCGAACGAACCAGCAGGATATGCGTCAACCGTTTCTCGCTTGCTCCTCGAGAAGACTTTTTCTTTCCTTTCGAGGAATCGATAGCGACCGTAATTTCGTCTAGTATTTTTAAAGGATAGGCAGGACTGCTCTGACGTCGTAGGTCGATTCGACTGTAGTTCCTTTCTTTATGCGTAAGGGAATACCAGTATAGTATTCTTTCGTACTATCGGGGAATCCTACTCTACCAGTTTCCTTTCCTACCTCTCTGAATTCGCCTTGCGACACTTTTGCTGGACTCGCAGGATTCCTCTAAGAGTCCCTCTGACTGTCCAGTGACTTTTATCGGCCGTAGCCCGCATACAAGAGATCCCAATACTATTCTTGCTGATCCAAGCGACATATATTTCATATCATCCCACACCCATACCACTCGTAGATATACGTCCAATATAATTTAACACGTATGACGTATACTGCATATCGATTATAATTATTTTCAAAATAAATACATTAACATATACAAGCGATCAAATTCAATAAGTATACCGAATAAACACTGTATATGTATCCCAATTAATTTTATGTCCAATGCACTCACATATGCAGCCGATACGATTCGCATGAACGGAAGTGCGTCGTTTTACCCCCGCAAAGTCGCGACATCCTCTCGGCGCTATCATCTGCAACGTCGCTCGTGTCGGAAAACTCGAAACGGGAGCATCTCCGTGCGTTATAACGTATTTCCAAGTGACAGACAACGGTATACAGGATGTCGCTCGCTGATAAGATTTTCGATGCACAATTGGAGCACTGTGCTTGAATTACGAATAATATCGCGATTTACATAGAATATCGATAATTTTTTTTTGTAAAAGCTCAAAAACTTTATTTAGAATAAAAAAAAAGATGGCTCCTCACTTGCACCTCAAGAATCTCTTAGACCGTCCGTAAAGGCACTGCTCATTAACCCGCCTGGTAATGTGGGTATGTGGGTAATTGTCATGTTGATAGGGATCAGTGCCAGTCGCAGATAGTGCAATTTATCAGTAACGCCTACGGACAGTTCGCAAAGCCGAAAGCCCAGAATTGTGCCACTCGCTGGTGCTCCTACGATTATTTCAGCGCGTTACACAAGCTGCGCGCGTCGGCCGAGAAAGGATCATGACGTCAGCCGTGCCCGAGCCTACATTGACGAAGGCGTCGTTCCTCGGGCTTTCGGCTGTAAACTTGTTTGCCGCTCGCGAATTCATGATGAAAATTAACCAAGAGGAGTTCGCCCGTACAGCCGCACGACTTTCTCACTTGAGCTCATCTAAATTAGCCGGTACGTCTGCGACTTAGCGCATACCCAGTCATAAGTGACGTATTGATGTCACGTATTAACGCTACGTAAATTAGCCGTATGATCTCGCGACCTCCATTTCAGATTACTCGCAATGGCCACGATGATCGATTATCGATATGACATGCTTGCACTTATCGATCATCACGCACAATGTCCATGGACTTAACGATTGAACTCTGCGCAGTCATTTTTACCATCGAGCTAATACTTGCATCACGCGACTGAAACCCCGTTCTGGGTATTTACTTGTACTTTTATTTTCTTTTTAATCATGAAATTATCGATTGTCACTACGGTATCGATCTTATAGGTTCTTATACGGTGCGCGTCTGTATCGATGTCCGTTCACCCACGTTACGTCCTTTCACAGTGTCTCGGCAGGTGATCGTCGTCCCGGTGTGCAACGTCACGTGCGCTTTGACTCGTAGTCATCGTCAATTTCAGCATCGCGCTCTTACGTAATACTCGTCAAAATTGTTTTTCCTCTCCTCCTTCATTCTCACAGAGACCATCAACATATGGCGCGACGATCATATTTTGAATGACATTTTCGTAGCAGACTCTGCGCTTACGATCGTTAACGTTCTCGAGACTGAGACGTGATTTGCCTTGTTTTATGCATTTGGTACGAAGAAAAAAGTATGTATATAGATATAGCATGTCGGCCAGTGCGAATCGCATGAGACTTTTTAATTTATTTTAATGCTTCCTCGAGATCGTATGACGTAACGGTTCGTTGTGCACTGTTTTACTGGTATCAAACTGTCTGACGCCATTGGCTCGTAACTCGCGCTTCTGTTATCTGTTTTTGTATTGTGGTTTCCGATGATTTTATTGCCTTACCACATATGTTTATGCGTTTGGTGGGTTATATAATGATAATAATAATTACCCTGTAGCCTTTTACGCCTGCACCACCGCGCTCACCGCTGGCTCCTTTCCATCCCTTGGGACCCGGCGGGCCGTCTGGTCCGGTATCTCCAGGAATTCCTGCGCGACCCCTTGGTCCTGGAATTCCGGGATAACCTTGCAGGCCCTTTATCCCGGTGCAATTGCATTTATAAGAATCTCGGCAGATCTGAAACATATGGGAGTAGAAAAAAAAATTATTAGTCTCATTGATATTACGTAGAGACAATTTATGGATATTGGAGGGCTCGATGGTCCGCAGACTATTTTAGCACGATAATGTAAACTGGTTGGTGTGTAAGTTGGGTGCTCTTCGTACGTGGACGTTTGAACGATATGTTCTCGGTATCGAAATCGTTGTGGTTTTTCAATTAAGAGTAACAATGATTAATTTCACGGTTAAGAGTATGCGCTGTTATTTTTTTTCTTTCCGTATTTCATTATACACGAAGATGAGCGACGAAGACCGTTATTCGAATTGGTATAATGATGGTATCACTATATGTTGCAAGGGACCAAATAAGTCCGGCCTCTTTATTATAACGGCGATGATGCAAGAGGCCCGCAATTTACGTGACGGGGATGACGATCACGGTGGTCATGATCCTCGCGATGAGAATCTCTGAGGTGCAAGATGGCCGCGTATCAATATTTAGACTCGAAGAGGTTTTTGACTCTGGGATTATGGCGCGTTGCGAATAATGCCCGTGTCGGCGACACGCGATTAAATTACAATTATTGTTCAACCAACTTCTCTACGTGCGTGACGCTGCAGGCGCCCTATTACTGTTATCGGTCCTTGGCTAAGCGTGCCATAATCCTTATCGTTCGCCTGCCTATGACCTGGCCTCGCCTTTGGATTTACGCATCTAGGCTATCCGGTGTCGATCACTTTCATTAGGAGTCATTTAGGGTCGCTGGGAAGAAACGGTGCGACTTAAAGATTTTTTTTTTTTTAATTAAAAACGGGTCCATTTTTATATTTCGAAAAATATATTTCTTATGGTATATTATTTTTTAATTTTGCCATTTCTCCTGGCTACTGCCATATATTTTGATACCGGCACGGATCGAACTGTACGAAAGAACCAAGATCCAACCCACGTTTGGGCCTGTTCTTGGTCTTTTAGCTTGGTCTTTTAGCTCAGGTCGAGACGGCCCCCCCCAACTGACATTCGGTTTCGTTCTAAAAAAGAGTCAAGTTGCTATCCTGTCTTGTAACAAAGAAACATTTTTTTTCCTCGCTTCCATTTCCACCCACGGGCACGAGTCAAATGTCAAAAATAAACTTACGAATACATGGGCTAACTCGGAGGGTAGTTACCCGTGTGACTTGAGTCCCTGAAATTCATCCTTTTTACACGCACTCAAGACCCTGAGCAGACTCTCGTAATTATTCAAAGAAAAAACAAATTTATTACACTTCACACGCTTCTCATTAATTTTCATCAAATATTCAATCAATCGATCAACCACCAGATCATTTTTCTCCCAAGTAAAAAGGGCTGCCAATCGAACCCTCGTGTCGCCACAAAGGAGTCCCCGCGCCGAGAATGAATTAAATATCGAATATGATCTATGACCTGACGACATCATTTTACGATAAAGTATCGAGGTTACAAGTTTCGTAAGAGATTACGTCTACCCTTAATAACGTCTCAGATTCATAGAAGACTAGAAAGATACTAGTAATAATTTAGTAATCATTTTTTTTTTCCACACACACACATATATAGACATATCCGCATATATTTTCTCCTCATACAAATATGGTGTAACGAGTCAGATTTTTACCAGCGATGCTAAGAATTCGTATATGGACCATAAATAAACCATGATTGGATCTCGTGATTTCTAACGATCTAACACATGCACGATCTTCGCCTTGCAGCACATGAGCAAGAATTGATAGTAGAGGAGGTACGTGAATTTCTGCGAAGGAGGACACCTTATCGTAGTACACCGAGCGATAAACTTTGCATGGTTCAGTAAATTCGGTGGTTCTTTTTTCCTCTCGATTTCCATACACAGCCTCTTCCCCTCCCCTCCCCCCTCCCCTCCCCCCCTCCAGTCTCATTTCATACATGGTGAACTTTTTTTTTTCTTCTATTTTTCTTCCATTTTAGAGCGACTTCTCGGAAAACCAAATGAGATCAGCCGTAACGGGTTATCGGAGCATAGCCCATAAACAAACATCCAACCATCCATCGGCGTCCTTCTTATTCGTCATCGTCTTTCTTTTCTACGCATGCGCATTCTTTTGTTCGTCCATGGCTATGTTATCGTTATTGCTCTGCGCTCATGTTACATGATCGTTTCATTGAGCATTCGTTATTGTAAAGTTCGTCTTGACTTTACGACCTCTTCGTGTAACTTTAAAGGCTCAGTGGGTTAATTAAGAAAATCTCGTTATGACGAAACATAAATTTTTAATGATCCACCGATTAGATATGATAACAATGGGGATATTTTATTCTTCATTGTGATATCGTAATTGAGGTATCTTATTAAGTAATAACATTAATCACGTGATCGATGACTGTTATTATTCGGTTTTAGGAGAAGACTCGTACGAGTACCAGAGGAAATAATAAATTAAATGATAACGCCCGATGCCGTCTTCTCTCTTAACTTTGTTGTACTTCCCGTACGAGCAGTCATTCACTACTGATAAACGAACGTTCCAGAAACTGGGGAAATCATATCTACCCTGTTCCCATGCAGTGTATCAAGTCTTGACAATGAATTTCCTGAGTGATTTCTCAATGAGTCGTATGGCTTGCGCGAGGGTTTTGAGTTAAAATTTGAAAAAAAAAAAACAAATATTAGCCATTCAGAAGATATCTTTCTATGAGTCGACTGTATTCTATTGGCACGTTGGGTCAGTGGCTGTTTGTGTGTGTTTACATGTGAGCCCAGGGTGCCTACCAATCGGGCGTCGAAATCGCCCACACGTGGTAGCCTTAGCCGACAGGAAATCTCAAGCGAGTACTTATCCAGAGACAATGTTCTGGGTCTGGTTGATAATTATTAATTTGTCATTGTGCCTATTTGATAAGTCTCAAAACATTCGCATGAATTGGACTATGTTAATTGTTGAATATCAATGAACCATCATCGGTCTGGGGCATTGTGTCGCTGACCTCGTAATCTCATGTCACATATTACTAAACGGTTATATACCTATATACATAGGGCTGTGTTTACGATAATTTATATTAAACATATCCGAGACGATTTTTTAAGAAATAGATTAGAATCGGCTCCCCCCCCCGGCCCCTTTTCATTGTCTATGTGTAATATTATCTTAATTACTGGCAATAACAGAAGGAGAAAGATAGTCAATGACAGGTTGTAGAGTACTGTCAGGCCCGGCCCCACGATGCAACCCCGTGTCGATCAAAGAGTCGCCGAACCACGTGTAAGGAACGGTTGATTTTCGAAGAAATGGAAAAAAATTTGTTTAAATGATTCACGGGTCGAAGGTCATGATTAGAGAATGTGAAGGTGGGTTAATTTTTGGGGGTTATATGCGAAGTCTAAGATTCTTCTAGGTAAGAGGGTAGGCCGGTCAAGGACACCTCTGTACTCACCACAGCCTGGCAAGTCGGAAGTTCACTAAGATGAATCCCAAGTAGGAGTAGGGCGAAGAGGTAGACGCCGGGCAGCCTCCGGTCGAAGAAGAGGAAGGCAGGTTTGCCGGCCTTCATGTCTTCGAGAGAGCCCCAGTACCCCGGCACCGAATTCTCAGCAGCAATAAACACTGTCCTGGACCGAACTATCCACAGCGAAGCATGTCGCCAGCCGAAGGGCCCCACGGCTTATTCAGTGCGGACGAGGAGAGCACTCGCGCGAGTATTTCTGTATCCTTGCGCCGGCCCGTGCGCTCCCGTGCGCTGCGCTGCGCTGCCTTGGGTCGTCCGCAAAGCGGCGGGCTTCGGCGACCGCGCAACAGTCCCACCGAGTGAGATGGCCGACCGGTCTCCTTCTCGGCTTCGCCGCCAACCCGGAGGAGGATAAGAAGGTGGATACGAAGGAGCCAGCAGCAGCAACGAGTGGACGAACCAGTGAATAAGAGGCAGAGGGGTACGCGGGTGGGACCCGGGTGGGTAGAGGAGTAGAGGAGGAGGACGAAGAGGAGGGTCTGGGGTAGTGGAGGAGGAGGCCCCCAGAGGAAGACGAAGACGAAGAAGAGGAATCAAGGAAGTGGTGGTGATGGTGGTGGTGGTGGTGGTGGTGGTGGTTGTGCCGTTGCTGCGGCCGTTGCTGCTGCTACTCTTGTTCTTGGTGTTGGAGGAATTGCTCGGGCACGAGGAGAGAGGAGAGAAAGAGGTGGAGGCGCTTGAAGAATCGCTGCTCGAAGAGGCTGCTCTCTGACTCTGACTCCGAGAGTGCCGATCCTTTCGGCGGAGGAATTCTAGCTGGCGTGGCTCAGACTGCCGCCTCCACCTTCCCTCCGAGTTCATTCAGAGCCCTCCCTGGATGGGACGGTCCACACGTCTCTCGGTACCCGGTCGCGCGATATTTTCTGTCTGTCTGGCTGCACGGAGTTGAAGCACTGTGTTCAGGAGGGTTCCCGGCTCCCTAATAACGCTGGTACAGGGAGCTCGACATGACCTGGTTGCGATTGAGGTGAGTACATTTTTTATTGTTTTTATTTATTTATTTTTTTTTTTAACGGTTCTTAGGAAATTTCAACTCCGACCCCGTACACGGTAACACGTTACAGAGTTTGTTACTCGGTGGAAGAAAAATATACGGATGTTCATTTTGGGACTTTTTTTTTATCTTAGTGTTTATACGTACGATCGTCAGGGATGCTGCGGTAACTTGATCCAAATTGGATGAACTCTCTCGGATGCTTCCTATTGGTTAATTATCTTCTTGGTAGACATCACTTCGGGCTATTTCGCGTCTTTTTATTTTGTGGTTAGATACTGGTTTTTTGGGCATTTTTCTTTTTTTTGTTCTTTTTTATTCGTCCCTTTCGAGGATGCCCAAGGATCTGCTTAGTATGTATGGTATACATGTGTGGGCTTATACGCTGCAGCGTGTAGCGTGTGATGGACTTACAGGATCGTCTTATTGCTAATTTCGCCCACGCTTATCGCTATAGATATACAGGTCCCTTAAATACACAGCCCACGTATCGTCTTTTAATAATCTTAATATCTCATAAGTGTGTGACGATCATCAGATCACTCTGCGTGTATAACTCGTAATTATAGAAGTAAAGAAGACGAACCTATTATTAATGTAAACGAAATTGACATTATCTCGTTTAACGTTATTGTCACTGAAAAATGTTTCTGCGATATTTCATATCGATTTACATCTTTCCGATAACTAACGCTCCAATCTTATCCCGAAGAGTTTTTTTTTTAACTCTTTTCCAACATTTGACACAGTCTTATCGTATACCGCCAGTCGTCGGATACTAAGTAGATACAATTTCTGCAATGCTATTCCTCGGAAACAAAAGTCAAATTTAGAAAAAAAAATAAAATTCCTTAACATAATTTAAAAAAAATACCATTCAGCTGTTTTTTTTTTCACAGATTGATCGCATCCGTGGTCTGCCTGGTCCTCGTGGTAGTAAAAGGGGTACGTAAAAAAAAAATTATCTAACACGTTAATCGGTTCAAGAGCCACTGTCAGAGAAAAAGGACTATGGTCACATACGAGAAATACTTTTCGATGGTATTGTACACGTACTTATCTCCACACGGGACACAAACCACCCAGAGTCACATAAACACACAAATAGGCAGTATGCGTTCCGGTTCACAACGTGTACCCGTTTCATTCATTGGTGGTGACGCTCGACCATCCAGGATTCATTCATAGATACAGAAGCTGGGATAGTATTTTTTTCCACCAGATTTATGTTTCGTATTTCGACGCTGCCCGTAACTTTCGCGAAAGTAACAAGAAAAACGGGTCCTTTCGGAATCCTAGAAAATGGCAAAATATTCGATGCTGTCTTTGTCATTAGTTTGTCACTAGGTAGACAGTACCAGTCCGCCCACAAGAATTTAATTTTATTAGCCGTATGCACCAGCCCTCGTAACCGTTACTCACTACTGGAAATAGTTCACGAGTACGTATTACTGGAAACGTGCTTATCCGATTGGTCCATTGTTTTCATATTATTTTTTTTTTTTTTTCTTCACGGTTCCGCATATCGCGGGGTCATATCTAAGTCTTCTAATCTTGCGTAAGCCTGCGTAAATGAGTAAATTAAAAAAATCGGTAATCTACTCTCGACTCTATGAAACTGTCATACGAAACTAGTGTTCGGGTTTCCGTCATCTTGTCATAAAAAGGAGAGCAAGTGCTTAGGCAGTCTAAAGAAAAATAAACTAGAAATTAGAGTCAATACGGAAGTGTCTGATCTCCTTATCAGCGAAATATTATTTTTTTCGAATTTCAACAATTTTGATAATTATCATACTAAAGCTATAATACTTCAATACTTCTAACGCTTTCGTTATCGACGTTAAATTGACGAATTATATTATAAATTCGAATTATATTTGATTTCGCGTTACGAAACTGATAAAAAAAGAAAAAGAAGAGTCTCGTTAATCTATTTAACGAGGTGTTAGGCTATTCGTGTAATTTCAGAGAGTCGAAACGTTTGAGAGCCACTTTACGCAATAAATAAGCTCGCTTGGTCGGAAACCGTGAGTTAACACGATTCTTGTACGTGTTTGTAGGTGGTACTTGGAAACGAAAAAGAGGAAACGAATAGGAAATAAAAGGACTTTAAGGTAGCCATGGTGATAAAATCGAAGGTGGAGGAAATCTGTGTAAGCTAAGAGAAGGATAGATTGCACGGGTAGTAGTAGCAGGTAGTAACAATAACAATAGTAGTAGTAGTAAAAATAATAATAATAGTACCAGCGACAGTAGTAGTAGCAGCAATAGAAGCAGAAGTCAACGCTAAGCATATAAGGGAAAAAAAATGAAACAGCGAAATGGTTCATGATGCTCGTAGTCTAAGCCCGCGAGCCGAGGTTGCGTAACCGTGTTTCACGATGGTGACCAAGACCGGCGGCAAAACGCGATAAAAGGGACGATTCTTGAACCGTCACGAAAAGATATCTCATATCTGGAATAAGAAAATTGGGTTAGCTCCGTTACATAGTGTCATTGCGTATCTAATGCACGACAGCACGTAGCCTCGATTCACCAATGACTCTGTCGCTAATTAAATTTATCGTCAAGCACTGCCGATAAATAAGATTCTACTGGAATTTATAATTTCCATACATTGACGTGCTCCCTCGGTAACGGCAGATTTCTTCCTTACCGATCGTGTTCTTTTCCGTTGTTCTTCTGTTTGTTAGATCATTTCGCCTTCTGAGGTCATCATTGTTAATAACAAACTTCGTATTCGCTCGATCACTATTTATACATTAGGAATTGACCGTGTCTATTGAATGTATTTTTTATTTTTTTGCATAATCACGCCCAAGGTCCTTTCGTCGATCCGAGATCAAGATCGCGAACATATATGTGACGATTTCTAGAGCGAGCCGCGTGCCACGAATGATCGAAAGTTCAATTGCAGTTACGCCCTGTATATTCATTGGGAAGATTCCCATGTAGGCAGCATAACACTTACGTCGTGAGATAGGATCGTGAATGGGAATGACTTAATAGCGGTCTTACAGCTGCGATGATCGTTCCACTTAATGATTACGATCGCAGCATGACGTTTTACGAGTATCCAGTTACCGTTATACATTCGAGACAGTCTATCAGTTTACCATAATTATGATACGCATTAGAACCACATGTGAATTTCGGATATACGGGTTTGTTGTTATTATTATTTTATACAAAATTATAGTACTCTTCGTTGTTCCTTTCGATCGATGAATGGAAATTTAAAAGGACGTTATCCTATCGCCACCCCCGCACTGAGCTTGTCATTTAGTGTGATAACGGGTGTCTGTTATCAGCAGTGCACTTCCCGTGGATGCGCCGTTTCCCCATAAGAAAAAAAAAAAAGAAAAAAAAAATTGTAAAAATGTTAACGGGAGCAAGACAATAATTTTCTCGGAAGCGGCATCACGATGAGTCATCGTGTCGTCGTAAAATGTTTGGTAATGGCGGCAGGGATGCTGGAAGATAAGAGCTGGAGCTGTTTGCCAACGCGACATGAATTCTACTGTATTTATTTTTACTTGGGGGAGTCTGCTAAGAATAGTTTTAGGGATTCCTTTTTTTCTTTCATTCTGCCTGTCTCTTCTGATTCTTCTTCTTCTTCTTTTTGGGGACTTTGAAGTAGCCGTGATCGTTGCGGGGTCAAAGTTCATTCTGTATCTACACGCTTACAGTTCGTGCTGGTGATATTTCAGTCGCATAATTGTAATCGTATATCTGTCGCTCCTTGTAGGATTAATTTTATTGGATTATCTTGTTTTTTTTTTTATCATTGAATCATTGCTATACTTTTTTATTTATTGTTCCTTTTTTTTTAGGAATACAATTACTCGAGGTATAGAGGCAGACCAAAGCCGGTCGTACCAGTCCACGTAGGTCGTGGAGATATCGCGAAACCTGAAGGATACGACGAAGATGCTGCGTTGGATGAAAACTATTCGGCAGGTCCTGAAGATTTTATTTTATTTATATTTTATCTTGTTCGTAGATTGATGCAATATACGGGATTAGATATTTTTTCAAAAAACTAAAGTTGAAATTTTAATTACAGACCATACCGACGAATCGTATAGATGGGATTTAAATTCGAAGTCGTATGGGAATCGCGGTGGTGTTATAAACGAGAATGCAGAGTCAGGGGATGGTGACTGGAACCGTTCCGCAAATCCTTATGGTGGTCGAGGCTCACAAGGATACGATGGTGGTTATGGTTCAGAAGGATCCACAGGAGGTCGTGGAGCTCAAGGACCAGCTGGTGGCTATGGGTCTGAAGCATCGAACAATTATTATGGAGGTGAAGAAAGTTCAGGTGCAGGATATGGATATGTTCCGGAATCGGCGAATTCTTATGGAAGTCGCCAAGATCCTTCTGGCGGTTATGGTGGTCGTCAGGATGCTTCTGGGGGCTATGGTGGATATAGAGAAAATCAGAGAGGATATGATAGTGGTTCAGAAAATTATCCCAGCAGTTATACGGCCTTTCCTATTCCTGGCGCAACACCACCTAGAAATTGCACGGGATCAGCATGTTGCGTTCCTAAGTGTTTTGCTGAAAAAGGATCACGAGTAAGTTTAGTACTTTTTGTTTTGCTTCCTTGATCAACGATGATCATTATTTGGGTGAATTATTTTTATTTTAGGGAACACCAGGAACATTTGGCCCCGAAGGACCTAAAGGACAGAGAGGTTTCCCAGGTGGTGAAGGTCTTCCAGGGCCAGATGGGCAAAAGGGTGATCCTGGTCTGCAAGGACCTCGAGGACCAAGGGGAGAGCGCGTAGGTTTTTTTATCAATGAAATTGATGTTCATTATGTTCATAAAATTTAAATATTAACTTATGTTTTCATAATTTAGGGTAGCATCGGTGTGCCAGGATTTCCTGGTATCGATGGGATTCCGGGAGTTCAAGGAGCCCCTGGTAATGCTGGGCGTCCTGGACGGGACGGTTGTAACGGAACGGATGTGAGTGATTAATATCAAATAATATAATTGATTAAACAATAATAATAATTAATAAAATCTTTTGTAAAGGGTCAAAGAGGAATTGATGGACGTCCTGGAGAACCAGGTCCTCGAGGCTTACCAGGTGTTCCTGGTCTAAAAGGTAATAAGGGTCAACCTGCTTTCGCCGGAAATTTCCCACATGGTCAAAAAGGAGAACCAGGTATCGATGGAGTGAGAGGTCCACCAGGACCTGCGGGACCACAAGGGGAATCTGGTTTCCCTGGACCGAAAGGAGAACGGGGATCATACGTAAGTATCTGCGTTAAAAGTAAACAATTAACAATTTAATATAAATTAACGTGAACATGTATTTTAGGGACCACCGGGTGCTCCGGGACCTAAAGGTGAAAAAGGTAATATGGGTCTCGGATTTGAAGGAGTGAAAGGTGACAAAGGGCAGAAGGGAGAACAGGGTCCGCCTGGTTCCCCGGTACCACTGTACCCATTGAGTGGGTCTACTCCAGGGATGGTATGTCCTAGTGGTGAGAGAGGCCTGAAGGGAGACAAGGTAGGAACTGGTAACTTTTTAAATAATTGTTATCTTGAAACTTAATGATAAGTTTTTTTTTCTACATTTTATGTATTTATTAGGGAGATACTGGTCCATATGGAGAAAAGGGTGAACCTGGTCCAATGGGAGATTACGGTATTCCTGGAGAAGCTGGAGTGAAAGGAGAAAAGGGTTTACCAGGTGTTCCTGGTATTCGAGTGAGCTTTATTAAAAATTTATCTACAAAAGATTAATTTTCTTGCGTAGGTTGGAAATATTTTTTGGAATTATTATTGTCCATTTTAGGGTAGAGACGGCTTCTCCGGGCCCCCAGGGCCTCCTGGGCAAAAAGGTGATCAAGGTTACGATGGAGTGGATGGTTTACCTGGACGTCCTGGAAAGAAGGGAGAACCAGGACGCGATGGGCCTATGGGACGTTCAGGATTACGTGGTCCCCCAGGACCACCTGGTGTAAGTTACTATATATATATATTTACATCTACTCAAAATTGCTAATGGAATTCTATTTTGCATTCGATTATTTGCTAAACAGAATAATTACGAAATTATTTACAGGGTGGTAAAGGACGGGCTGGGCCTCCAGGACCTCCGGGACCGCGAGGATATCCAGGTGCAGTTGGTCCAAAAGGATTGGATGGTTATCCAGGAACTCCTGGTGCAAGAGGACCAATCGGTATCCAGGGCGGGCCAGGTCTGCCTGGTACCTCTGGACCGGAAGGATTACCAGGTGAAAAAGGAGATAAGGGAGACTCTGGATTCCCAGGATTCCCAGGATTGACTGGACCACGAGGTTTTGATGGGCCTCCAGGACCTGCTGGACCTCGAGGTCCTACGGGAGAGAAAGGACATTCGATAATGGTAAATATCATTTAACCGTTCGTTGAATTACCAGTGCTTTTGATTTGCGCTAAATATTCTTATTTTCTCAATAGGGTCTCAAAGGAATGGATGGTATACCAGGATTGGATGGTGATAAAGGTCAAAAAGGAGAACGAGGTTACGCAGGGCCTCGAGGATATCCTGGCGATTCTTTGGAAGGAATACCAGGAGCTCCTGGAGTTGCAGGAGCTCAAGGTGAACCTGGTGTACCAGGACGCGATGGAATCCCAGGAAGCCCGGGAAGTCCAGGGGAAAAAGGCGATATCGGTGGCCGTTGCCAGGATTGCTCACCTGGTTATCCAGGATCTAAAGGAGATCGAGGGCTCGACGGTATTCCTGGTCTAACAGGTGCTCGAGGACCACCTGGAGAACGCGGATTCCCTGGTGAACCTGGTGCAGATGGACTTCCAGGAGCAATTGGACCACCAGGAGCACCGGTACACTTCCAGATCTAATCTTCTTTAAATACTGATAAATCATTTTCTAACTTATTATTAATTACAGGGTAGAGATGGTATTCCTGGAAGTCCTGGACCTCAAGGAGAACCAGGTAAACCAGCAGAAGTGTCTCGGGATAGTTTGAAACTCGAAAAGGGTGATAAGGGCGTGCGGGGAGAACCGGGAAGGCAAGGACCTCCGGGACCACGAGGTCCCATTGGAGAAAAGGGCCGCATCGGAATGGAAGGATTCCCTGGAGTGAAGGGAATGGCGGTAATTAACTAAATTTTCACGCAGCAATAATTATAACCTCAACGGATAAATTAATATAAATTACGTAAACTTTTATTAAATAAAGGGTGAACGAGGATACCCAGGACAAGACGGTATTCCTGGCAGACCGGGAACTCCAGGATATAAAGGTGAAAAGGGTACTAGCGTGAAAGGAGAAGCTGGTGAACCAGGACTTAAGGGTTCGATTGGTGCAAAGGGTGAGCCTGGGTCATATGGACACAAGGGTGAACCAGGTAAGCAACGTAATGACAATATTTTATTTTTCGTAATTAAACAATTGAATACTATGATATGAAAATTTCAGGTCTTTGCCCGCCATTGAACTTGACTCTTAATTTAACGGGCGACAGAGGATCTCCTGGTGAAAAGGGAGAACCAGGACCTCCTGGTCGTGATGGATTCCAAGGTGATAAGGGAGATCAAGGATTCCCGGTAAGTAACAACACCATTTATATATGGATATATATATACAGATGCACACGCATATAGACTAATATTGAATGAAGACTTTAAACGACGATAGTGGCATAAATTTATTAGTAATTTCTGAAGTTTAATAAAAATATCCTTCTGATATGGAATTTCATCATCTTTGACCTCTGCAACAAGGTCACGATTAGTGTATAGATATGCGGTTATCAGTACCTGGAAATTGTTCAACATAACAAGACCGCAGCACTATGCAGTATCAGTTTTTAATAGATTTAAAAGTACATATCAGAATTGCATTTAAAAGAGTTAAAGTAGCAATCCTGGTTGGCACACGATAGTGCTCTTCTTTTGAATTTGTCTTTGTCTCTTTTTTCTGTTATTATTGGTACTTGTTAGTTAATTGTCAGTGCATATCTATGATGGAACGCTATTTTCGTCAATAAATTATATTCTTTTTAAAGCTAATCTAGTGACATTTATTAGGGAATTCAATAACACATCAATTATCTGGCAGCATTTCGTTGGTTTTTCTTTAAAAATTACTTATGGCTCATCGAAAATAATATCGCGTGAATGGTTTTAAATATTATGCCAGGGTCCTCCAGGACCAGCTGGACCAATAGGACCTCCGGGACCAGTTGGACCCCGAGGGCTTCCAGGACAACGTGGAGAGAAGGGTGACATTGGTGTCATGGGCTTCCAAGGCGATCCAGGACGCGATGGACCACGAGGTCTTCCTGGTGCTGCGGCTCCTAAGGGAGTTAAAGGAGAACCTGGAATTTCGGTAAAGGGAAGTCTAGGTCTAACTGGACCACCGGGCGAGAAAGGAGAGCGTGGTCTTCCAGGACCACCAGGAAAGGACGGTCCACGTGGTTATGCTGGATTAGCAGGCTTGAACGGTGAAAAGGGTGACACCGGGACTCCAGGACTTAATGGTCTCCCGGGAACACCTGGAGAAAAGGGTGATACTGGCCCGATTGGTCCAATGGGACCTCCAGGAATTGCAGGAATCCCAGGAATGAATGGAAGAAAGGGTACGATAGAACTCGTTAAGAAAAAACTTTATAGTATTTACGAATAAATAATTATTTAATCACACATAAATTTTAGGAGAACCTGGTTTATCCGGGGAACCTGGCAGAGCTGGCCTCCCTGGATTCCCAGGCACGAAAGGGGAGCCCGGTGAACCTGGAAAGGATGGGCAGAAGGGTTACTTTGGACCACGTGGTGCCCCTGGTGTTCCTGGTGAACCGGGACGCGAAGGTCCACCTGGACTAAAAGGAGATCGCGGTGAGAAAGGTTTTCCAGGTTTCCCTGGACTTCCTGGTATGGAAGGAAAGCCTGGAATGCCTGGTCCACAAGGTCTTAAAGGTGACCGCGGATTCGACGGATTACCTGGTGTACCAGGACCTATTGGTTTCTCGGGAGAGAAAGGAGATATGGGTTACCCCGGAGCCATGGTAAGTTCACGTCTTATTGTTATACAATATTTTAAGGAATATAATTTAATTGAAAAGTAATGTGTAAATGAACTGTTCCTGGACTGTTACAAACTTCAGTAATATTTTTAGGGCAAAAAGGGTGAACCCGGTCTAGTGTCTGAAAAGGGTCAGAAGGGTGAGACTGGTACCCCTGGACTTCGTGGACCCCCAGGAGTGCCCGGACGAGATGGAATCGATGGCGCAAAAGGTGAACCAGGAATACCAGGAATAGGTAAAGACGGAATTCCAGGACTTAAAGGAGAACGAGGAGTTCCTGGACGCGATGGACTTCCTGGATTGCAAGGACCAAAGGGGGATGAAGGTGTTCCGGGATTACCTGGAGTCAAAGGAAATTCGGTAAATAAATTAATCAGATATTCTTCCGTAAAACTTTTATATTTTAAGAATAATTAACATTAGCTTGTCAAAAATCTTATTGTTCTTTTATCAATTTTTTTATATCAATAGGGTCCTCCTGGTGCTTTCGGCGAACCTGGGCCTCCTGGACTTGACGGACTTGCGGGAGAAATTGGTGATATTGGTCTCGAAGGACCTCCTGGATACCCTGGAGTCCAAGGTGATATGGGACCACCTGGACGAGATGGTCTAGATGGTGCTAAAGGAGATCGTGGTCCAATAGGTATTGAGGAAACAATAATATTATATTATTAAATAATAAATTACGAATTTTCTCTACGAATTCCCTTCATTATTTGCAGGAGCTATTGGATTTCCTGGTGCGATGGGATCAGCCGGAGAGAAAGGAGACCGTGGTCCCCCTGGATTGACTGTAGATATCAAGGGTCAAAAGGGTGAACCAGGTGTTCCTGGTCGTCATGGATTGACTGGATATAAGGGAGAACGAGGTTTCAACGGTCCTCCCGGATATGATGGTCAAAAGGGTGACAGAGGACTACCAGGACCTGTTGGACTTCCGGGTGCCATGGGTCCCCCGGGCGAGAAGGGTAAGTCCTCTTCTAACGATGTCTCGCCGAGATTAAAAACCATCTCTAGTATATATTGCAATTATTCTGGCTCCTTCAGGCGATATGGGACCACCTGGTCCTAGTGGACTTCCGGGCTTAACGATAAAGGGAGAGAAAGGATTACCAGGCCTACTAGGGAAGCATGGTCGCGACGGAGCGCCTGGATTCCCAGGAGAAAAGGGTGAGCCCGGATTAGAAGGACTTTCTGGGGAAAAAGGCGAACCAGGACCGTACGGACCAATTGGACTTCAAGGCGAGAAGGGTGACGCAGGTTATCCTGGACCGCCAGGATTGCCTGGAGCTGATGGTCCGCCAGGACCACAAGGACTTCAAGGTGCAGATGGAGAACGTGGTCCCAAAGGAGACCAAGGTATACCAGGACTTTTTGGAGCTCCTGGAGAGAAGGGAGATCGTGGCTTGCCTGGTAAGAATAATTTAACTATAAACAAAAATCATCATACCCTCGTTGTTTACTTTAAATATTCCTAATTAAAAATTTGTTAATCTTTTCTCCTCAGGGCTACGAGGAATAGACGGAATTCCCGGTGAAAAAGGAGATCGTGGTATCGATGGACAACCTGGATATCCTGGTGCTCAAGGAGAAAAGGGAGACCGAGGTTATCCCGGTGATATAGGTCTGGCCGGAGCTCCTGGATACGTTGGCGAAAAAGGAGACAAGGGTGAAGATTGCCTGCAACCACCGGCAGGTCCGAAAGGAGAACGCGGTTATCCTGGTAAATATTCTTGGTATCTCATAATCATTCCATCACGCATGAAAGTTATTAATAGAATCTAGACATCAAAAAAAAAAAATTGTCGAGTAAATATCCCAAACCCTCGAATTGCCCGCAACTGTTAACGACCACTTATTTTCCGCAGGTCCTGCAGGACCACCAGGTCTCCCTGGCGAGAGAGGACCTCAGGGACCCGAAGGCTTCTCTGGTCTAAATGGAATTAAGGGCGAGCAAGGCCCAATTGGTGTACCGGGACCTACAGGATTTAGAGGTCCGCCTGGTCCCGTCGGACCAGAAGGTCACATAGGTATTCAAGGACCAGTCGGAAGCCCAGGTCCTAAAGGAGAACAAGGACCTCCTTGTGAGACCATTCCCGATTATCTAACTGGAATTCTCCTGGTTAAACACAGTCAGAGTCAAAATGTTCCCGATTGCGAACCAGGACACATTAAACTCTGGGAAGGCTACAGTCTTCTTCACACGGATGGCGATGAAAGAGCGCATTCCCAAGATCTGGGTAATTATTCTTTAATTGAAATATTTATAAACAATCAACGAACAGTGCATGCGTGAATAAATATTTCTTAGAACCTCTTCATAAATTCACATTACGGAAAATCAGTAAAAATCTCTATATCTTTTTTTTTATTCATTATCATCCATAGGCGTAAACAGTTCTTCATAGATTCAATTGAGAAAATCTTTGCTTGAGGTATCCTACGTATTTAAATTCGCCATATGGCTCAAGACCCAAGGCAGCGACTGGTCGCACCGCGTTGCGAGGACAGCATCGCGCAATCGCTTTTTTTTCAAATCTCTCTCCCACCATTTCTTTCAATTCGAGCCGTCCAATAAATTTTCTGAAAACAGGTTATGCCGGCTCCTGCGTAAGAAAGTTCTCGACGATGCCCTTCCTGTTTTGCGACGTCAACAACGTGTGCCATTATGCGAGTCGCAACGACCGTTCCTATTGGCTCTCTACCAACAGTCCTATTCCGATGATGCCTGTTGAAGAAACCGCCATCGAGGAATACATATCCAGGTAGAGTAAACAAAATATCTGTTGAAAACAATTTATCCAATATCTTTTAGATTGATATGTCACAATGCAAATCGTATACAACGTATATGATTTACCATCCAACAATTTTTCACTACTCCCAAAGGAATTACCTAACGATACGATCGTAACGATCGGGCAAATATTATCGACAGGTTTACGTTTTTCTTTAATTAATTTTTGTTACAAAATTAGTTTCACTATGAATTCATATCAGGGAATCGTTGCTAGATGTTGCTTTGCATAAATATATACATGTCAAGCTATTGTGATTAGTCGAAATTTATTTTTTCTTCATCAGGTGCTAGTTAATTTGGTAGAAAAGAAAAAATATTTTTGAATAAAAAAATCTTTTTTTCAAGGTGCGTCGTTTGCGAGGTACCAGCTAACGTTTTGGCAGTGCACAGTCAGTCGTTGAATATTCCGGAATGTCCAAATGGATGGACGGGTCTGTGGATCGGATACAGTTTTGTCATGGTACGTAAATCGGGATGACACATAATCAACTGCACTGAAGAATAATATTAAAATAAACATTGGCCAATTCTTTTCCATATCGTTTATTTAGCACACGGGTGCCGGCGCTCAGGGCGGTGGTCAATCACTATCTAGTCCTGGATCCTGTCTCGAGGACTTCCGGGCAACGCCATTCATCGAGTGCAACGGTGCCAAAGGTCACTGTCATTACTACACGAACGAGTATAGTTTCTGGATGGCCAGCATAGACGACAACCAGCAATTCAGAAGACCTGAAAAGCAAACTCTCAAAGCTGGCAATTTAAGGTCCCGAATAAGTCGTTGCCAAGTCTGTATAAAGCACACATAAAAGAAATTCATAATCAATTTCATACGAAATTGGTAATAATCTATTGAAAATTAAAGTCTACGAAGGGCAAAAAACAAATGAAAAGATATTGCGTAAGCCTCTGCAAAACGAGTGTATAACGATTGCCATTTTGTTTTTCATGGACGTCACGACGTTAAGATTAAACCGTAAGACCGCTTGGAAATCGTCGTAAATGTTACGAAAGCTCCGTCGCGTCGAGAGCTTTATGGTGAACCGTGAGATGGCGGAATGCTGAGACAGAGAAAAATATAATACCGCGAGTAAGGTAACAGAGAGAGAGATAGAGAGAGAGAGAGAGAGAGAGATAGAGAGAGAAAGACAAAAATAGGGAAAGAAAGGAAACAAAAATAGAGGAAAAAGAAAGAACAAGAAATTTTTTTCCCACTCTTTCTCTATCGCTTGTTCTGTTCTTTCTTTTTCTTTTCTTTAATTTCTCTCCTCTGCCATCCTTATAGTCTCTGATCACTTGGATCAGCTCTCTTTTTTCTCGTTCTCCTGTTCGTGATAACTACTTCGTATGCCCAGTGTACTACCTAGCATGTAAAATAATATATAATTTATATTCGTAAATCCGTAATGGACGACTAAGTTTATTATTCGTACTACCATCAAAACACTGCCCATATCCAATATGGCAAACTCGCATATTGTATATTAATATAATACTTTCTTAGCCTCGTAATCGTGTGACGCCAAATATTTAAGTACATACATAGGTATTTTGCTACGTAGACAATAAATCTATATTTTGAAAATTCACTTGCGATTTTTACGTTCAACTTACGGATTCAGCTACACACGCACACCTATCTATATATATATATATATATATATATATATATATATAATAACCAGTATATCGATAAGACACTGAATTCCTCTCACATTGATTATCACTCCAGTACTTTTCTCCTACTCAATATTTATTTCTCGCAAGACAGTGCGACTGCTAACTATTTGCGATCTGGAATGCAAATTAATCGAATCAACGTAAACAGCAGATCGTTATTATTTCTGTGACGTGTACTCGACGACATAACGAGTATACGTGTTATCACGAATGGTATATACCACCAGTGGTATATTTCACCGTGAATAAATGTCATGGAAAATCAACCTTTTTATTTAATACAAAGTTAATGCAGTCACTTTCGAAGGTAGGTGAGTTTACTAAGTAACGCATATTATTTATTTAAAATGATCGTTCGAGATTGCCGATGCGATGTCTTGCTTATTAACTTTTTTAATATAGTTTTCGGGTTAAAGCTAAAGATTTTGTTTAAAAAAGATATCGATTTCGTATATATTGCAAATACGACGAGTTGACCTTTCTCGAAATCTAAGAAAACCACCTCGACTACTTTTCGTGATATTCACGTGCCACCAGAAACCCGTTCCCGTGCGATACTGGAATTTCTAGTAAGATCTTTAAAATATCAGTAGAACAGTCTTACCCGTGTCTTCTTCTCTTATAGAATTTTAAGTCTATTGGCTGTTCTCACAATTTGCTCTGAAATAGAGTTAATAATTGATACGATCCTGTGGTCAGTATCCTCTGTTCTATTGTGATGATATCATCATACGAATAGATATGGCTATAGTCAATGGCAGCTCTGCGCATTTGAACAGTGACGTCACTGAACCCTGCACTCGGATTGGCTGACTGCGTGCGTTGCGTAGTCACGGCGCAACGTCAGTTACATTTTGAGGGGTCATCCGCTTACGAACCGAAACGTAAATAAGTCCCCTCAAAGTGAAACTGATGTCGCTTTGAACGTGACGTCATTAGACCCTGCGCGAACTTAACCAAAATACGATCGCTAGTGGCTACTATACCTTGTCTATTTGTATTATGCTGCGATCGACTTTTGACTGACAGACAGACAAGGGGAGTCATGTGTTCCTTTCCGTTATCTATTTCGTGGCAGGATGGAATCGCCAAATTAAATTAAATGGGAAATCTTTACTTGCAGGACAATCTGAAAGTCGACGTTTCTTTTATTATTGTTTGTATTACGTTATAATCACAATTAAAAGGGCGTATCGACAATATCGTCATATTGGTAAGACGAAGATTTCGTAACGGTAGAAAAATAACGTAATAAAAAATTTATTAACGATGACTCTTCGTTATATCCTTGTTGTAAATACTCTTACGTTGTACTGTTTACCGATCATGTTACGATTATGATTGTCCTTGATAATTTGCCAATCATCGATATTGACTATGTCCTACGAAAGTGTCGAGCCTCCAAAAGTTCGACAGTCCCGCTTTGAAAACTTGAAAAACAACATTCCGTAAGGCAGTGAACATTTGGGTGCGAAAAATGATTCGACTATTAAACGTGGAAGGATTTTACGAAGCGGTGGGGATATTAAAAAAACAAGAACTGGCTGCGCGTGTAATTAATTAAGTTGGCATGAATCGTGAGCATGATACTTAATGCCTTGGGGCAGATCAGATCATCTACGTAGCAAAATCGAAATCCATAATGTTTAATTACAAACGGAGGTGTGGAACCTGCCGACCAATCGGAATCTTCTTCCAGGATCGTCAGAGGATTTCAACTGTTTCCACATCCCGTTTTGGTTCAGTGATCGGGAAACAAGCAAACCTTCGTTATACTTGTACCTATCGGCACTAGAAAGCGCACAAGTGTTCGTAGTGTTCCGAAAATTTCGTTTTATATTTTGAAAATATATATATATTTTTTTTTTTCAATATGTCTTCGAAAAATTACACTCGCACACGGTGGGACGTTCAGGCGTCGGATATTGCAAGAAAAACTCACAATCCCATCAGATCGATCGTGGAGAATATCGTTATCGAACCGAATCCCAATAAGAATATGATAGCTCTATCTATTGGTGAGTTTTTAAAATAATTTTTATGAACGCTCTATTGAATATGGGGAATAGAAATTTTGGAATATGGACATTTTTCATCGTTTTTGTGCTACTGACCACCTGGATCTTTTGAGGACATTTCGACGTAGAGACCGCGTGACTTTAATGCTTAGCGACCCTGTTGTAGTTGTATATATACAGCATTCTGTACTTTTCCGTATAAAGGTGATCCCACAACGTTTGGAAATTTAAAAACCGCTAAGGAGGTAATCGACGCTGTACAGGAGAGCGTCGCGTCGCAATTATACAACGGTTACGCACCTAGTACAGGTATATTGATTAATTTATACCAATTAATTGTTTTGCAACGTATGAATCTCCTTAATTAATACATAACAAGGCTCCACCCTATACCATATTGCAATTTACACGTAACATCGCGCAGCGTCAAAGTAAAAATAATTGGACTTCAATTTGACAGCTTAATGTCGGAAATAAAAAAAACGAGATTAAAATATAATTTTTTATATACAACTTTTATCAAAGGGTATCAAGAAGCAAGAGAGGCGGTAGCTGAGTACAGTTCGAACGAGTTTGTCAAAGTCGATCCAAACGTAAGTACTGAGAAGAAACCATATCAATATGAAGTAAAAAAAAAACGTAAAAAGATTATAATGTTACTTTATTTAAAAAAATTTTAATACTTTTTCTTCGGTAACAAACATTATTTTCAGGATGTCATACTCTGCAGTGGATGTTCCTGCGCTTTGGATTTATGTATCACTGCGCTGGCACGACCGGGACAAAATATTTTGATACCGAGACCTGGTTTTTCGATTTATCGTACCTTGGCAGAAGGTCTAGGTATTACAGTGAGGTCCTATAATCTTCGTGTAAGTAGTATTTATATATATATATATATATATATATATATATACACACAGTAGTACACAATATAGAATTCTGACAGCTATAGAGAAGTAGATACCTAAAGAGAGCGACAGAAAGGAATATCGACCCTTGGCCGTAATAAAGATTAATCGAGATTAACATCGATTCCCTTTATAGCCAGATTCAGGTTGGAAAATCGATTTGGACGACTTGGAATCAAAAATTGATGAAACGACAGCTGCAATTGTTATAAACAATCCATCAAATCCCTGTGGATCGGTATTCGATCGTGATCATTTATTGGACATTTTGGATATAGCGGCTCGATATTACGTTCCGATTATAGCCGACGAAATATATGAACACATGGTATGTATGAAAAAAAACATAAAGTCGAAATTTTTATTTTACTGTCCACGAAAAATATTCATGAATATTTATAAGATTTTTTTTTTTTTGATCATCAGGTATTTCCGGGTCGGACATTTTGGTCGTTAGCTTCCTTGTCCAAGGAAGTTCCTATATTGTCCTGCAGTGGACTCACCAAGAGGTTCGTAAATCTCGTGATAATGACTTTACGTGAATTCTAAATTACGACAGCTGGTACACTCATTTTCAATAATGTAAAGTGAGGTTTATTATTGTATGAATTTTAAAAAAATTATACGCCTCGAAATTTTACAGGTTTCTGGTACCAGGCTGGAGAATGGGCTGGATTACAATTCACGATAGGCAAAATATTCTCGACAGGGAGGTAAATGTTATTTTTATATTATTCATACACGAAACTCAAATAATGCATATATAATGGATCGCCACTCCGAGACGGCGAACGTGAGGAATAAAACGATTGGAGAAGTCTTGTTGTGATAAAAAAGCAGAGAAAAAGAATATAGGCGTAAGAGAAAATGAAAACAAAAGGAAACACGTCTCTCACAGCGAGAACAGAGATTTGATTAAATTTCGTTCGTTAAACTTTGCTCGGTTATTAAGCTCTCCCAACTCGTATCGCGTATTCAGGATTTTGCGCAGTGTAATTGAATTTAAAAAAAAAACGATCGCAATATACCAGATTGAAAAAAATAATTTCACGATAAATGAAAAAAAAGGACTTTCTAGGGTTTTTTATTTTTAAAATTCGAAAATTATACTATACCTATACAAGCATATCGAAACCGATAGTCACTGTATTACGTTTATTAAATTTTTCTACAGGTTCGCAAAGGACTGCTGTCTTTGAGTCAACGTATAATCGGTAGCAATACTATCGTACAGGGTGCTTTGCCAGCGATATTAAGTAAAACACCACAGAAATTCTATGACGACGTAATACATACACTATACGTAAGTACTTCTTAATCCACCACAAATTTCTCATCGATTCCAATAAGATTTATAAATAAAAAATCTTTTTTTTCAGACACAATCAAAACTCGCTTACAAGTGTATCATTAAGGTACCAGGCTTAAAGCCTATAATGCCAGACGGCGCCATGTATATGATGGTAAGAAAAAAAAAGGACGGTCTGTACGCAAAAATAACAAAGTACTGTGACGTGATTTTTCGAATCACGGTCCCAAGGCGGCTCCGGTTACCGATACATATAACGTTCTCGATTTCTGGTTCCCTTCGGGTCGCCACCCTGCTCAGAAGCTACGGATATGGTTAAGGGCAGGAGAGGAACCTCCTGCCCGAGTTAAGGATGTGGTGCCCAGCTGTCGCCCGATGCCCTGGGGAAGCGGCCGTGGAGGATCTCCAGGATATACGTACCGATTCGTTAAGGAACGCTCTCGATTTGGTTTAAAGGGACGACTCGGAGCTGATAGAAGAGTTATCGGTTATAAGGCTCTCGACCAATCAGAATGATTAGTTCTCGGATTTGGCTATTGTCAATCGACTGCTTTAAAGCAGTCTGTCTCGGGGCACCGACCGAGGTGTCACGAGGGACATCGCGCTCCCGTGCTGTCTGTTGATAGTTTTTCTTGCCGTGTTTCGCTACGGTATAGCAAGTTCTCGGTTCGTACAGTTCTCGCGTTGTTCTCGCGATGTCCAGGCAATTCTATGAATTCCTGTGAGTGTTCCGGAGGTGTAGTGCCGTGCCTTAGTGCAGTGCTCCCCAGAGTGTCCTTTGGGTACAGTTCTGGGCCTCCACGGACTAGCTGCACCAGCTCCGGTGAGGATGCCCAATTTATTAATTGGTGAAGGGATCTCGATAGATAGTTAAGAATCGTTCTGATACGTTCTCGGTTCGTCGCTCTCTGTCTCTCGCACTATTTTCCGGATTCTTACTCCGACCCTCTCTAGCTCAAACCTAGCAGTCTGAGCGGCCGTGCATTTCCGTCACCGTCCGCTCCCGTTCGTGTATCCAGTTGCGTTTGCTGATTTTACGCGACCCTAAAGATCAGCACCTAC